GATTTATTCAATATTCAAATTAATGTGAATGAACTTATTTTATGTTTAAATGGAGCATTTAATTTACTTACTTCATTAATTCGTATAGTAGAAAGTTCAAATCGTCAAGCTTTATTATTAATTTATTTACCATTATTATGTAATCTACTTACAAATGAATCATCTATTATATTAAATCGATCAAATTATAAAAATAATATTATTTCTATTACAAATTTATTAGATTTAATTTATTTCATACATATTATTACATTAAAACATATTATAACAATAGCTCCATGTTTTCCAAATGAATTTCGTTCAACTTTTCAAATTCTTAATGATTTTAAAATACGTTTAGAAAATGCAATGAAATTCTCCATTTCATTAATTAATAATAATAATAATACTAGTAACACTACTAATAATACCAACCATGATTATAATCATACGAAACTTCAATTAACCAATGGTATCCTATTGACTCATAATAATCAAACAATTTTAAAACAATATCAATCGAATATACCATCGATTAAATTGAAAACAGATTTTAGTAATTATACATAAATCATTATGATAATTATAACCTTTATAATAATTATCCAAATTTGTTATAAACTTCATTATAAGTTAATGTCTACAATTTGTATGTATTTATGATTTCAAATGATGATCATTTCATATTTTGTCCCATTTGTTTAATTTATGTTCTTCTACCTTTATTGCTTCTTCTATCATAAAAATATAGTGGTTAAATTTGTTATAATTATCACTTATAATAATGATTTCTATAATTGATGTTAATTGATATGCATTTTATCCGGTTAAATTATGTTGCCTTCTCTTCTCCCTTTTTTTTTTAAATTTCACATATATTTTTTAGATAATTTTGCTTTCTTTCTTTTTCTTTTTTCTTCTAACTTTTGTTCTGTATCTTCAATGTATTTGTCTACAATCATTATTGAATAAGAGAAGTGAAAACAACGAATCTATATTAGTTGAATTAGGTTTATTGTTGTTAATGTTGAATGAATCACCTCATTTATTATCTCAGTATAACTTTAATTTATGAGTAGTATTATTATTTATTAAATTTTAGGTCAACGTGACGGAAAATAAATATATCTTTCTGAAACACTTCTAATTTACATTTGACTTTCAATAATCTATTATACATTTATTTTAATGGATTATTTCACATCTGATGATGCCCACAATTATATGTGGTCTTCCCTATGGTATAATACACATAAAAATTGTGTATACTATGTGTTTTAATTGTCTTTCGCTAAAAGCAAAAAAAAACTAAGTACATCACATCATCATGTGAACTTTATGTATTTCGAAATTCTTTGTGTAAACATTTGACTGGCTGTATGTATAGTAACTTTTCATATTGTGATAATTATTTAGATTGTTATTGCTTTTATTGTCATTGTTGTTGTTGCTGTTAAAAGAAGTTTGCGTTTTGGCTTTTCGTTTATTTATTATTTTTCTTTTTTTAACATTTAAGTGTACTGATGATATTTATTCAGTGTCAAATCTGTCTTCTTTCACTGAATGTTAGAAACTTACATGAAAACATTATAGGTTCTTATTTCTGTCATAATGCATTATATAATATGAAGAAATATTTTATTTTAATGATATTCATCCTCTTATTTGCTGTGTATTGACAAGTCATAACGATGAAGTGTTTTATTTTGTCTTGATCAAATATGGATATTTATTTATTCTTATCTATAAAATATTGTTTTAATTTTTATCGGGTTATAGATTTCATGTCAATCAGTGGAAGGTAGTCAGTAGTAGGAAGTAATGCATCTAGGATTTGTTCTTGTTGATACTCCTCAGTAAAGTGTATTTGAAATGTTGAACAAAATGATAGTTGTCCTGATACTTGTAACGCCAGAAAGAAATAAATACGGAAATAGATAATAATTTCCACGTATGACTTCTCCATGATGTTAATATATAATTTCACCCGGTTAACTCCTAAGAGAATTTGTTGATAAAGATTTTTCAGATGATTGATTGTTTATGAAACTATTTATGACTAGTTTACGTGCTGTTCGGCTAAACGGCTCGGTAAGAACTCCGAAGCATAGAGACATACATCGTTGCCTTTATTTCACTCCTGCCTACGCTCCCACTGACTGCTACCCCGATGAAGTGAAATATGACTTTTACAGAAAGCATTCTGAACTTCCAAAAGCTAGATGCTTAGACATAGTACTCGTAGAAGGTGACTTTAATACTCAAGTAATGAGCTTAAACCAAACAGAAAGACATTTCGGTGGGAATTTCGGCTCAGCGAACAGCCAATGGTGATGCCTGCTACAACTGTGCTCAGACAACAAGCACTAATATTAAGTATAAGGAGAGACATCGTCTAAGATGGCGACATCTTGCACCAAGCCAGCGATGGACTCAAATAGAACATATTGCCATGTCATCATTATAGAGGCTCGGTAGAAGACTATCTCTCCTTCCGGAATACATATTTAGACTCTGATCATGCTGTAACACGGGTGCACATTTGCTTCCGCAGTGGCTGTTGGTAACACAAAACAAATCTTCAGACTAATAAAAGAAACGAATTAACAAGTCAAGTGTGTGAGGCAATCTCGGGAAGAGACAACACTCTTATTTGCTCACGGTCTCGACGTTTAGAACGATCGGTGGGACACTTTAAGTAGTTCATTTCCTCTGCAGCGACCCGCTATTTTTAAACAGCCTGAATGTAACATTGAAATAGGCACCTAACTCTAATTGAAGTTCAAAAAGTAACAGTTAATCAGAAACGAGGAAGAGCAGCTAGTCTAGATGAATTAACTCCAGAGGTCTTCAAGCACGGCAGTTGTTTTAGCGATTAGGTTGATTAATATTTTAGCTAAAATCCTATCTGACTGGTCGCAATCACTGATTGTCCCAATATATAAGGGGGTCAAAATCATCCTGTGACAATCATAAAGGAATTAATTTGGCTAGCATAGCATCTATAATACTAGCCTTAATAATTATCGGGCTCCTAACTAAGACTCGTTAACTGCATACATAAATCTTGTGAGGGATCTTTACTCAAACACTACCAGTCGAGTCAGAGCTTATGACGAACTCTCATCTGATTTTGCAATCTGAAGTGGTGTCCGACAAGGCTGTCCACTACCTCCATTTTTGTTTAGTTTCATCACAGACCTACTGCTGGGAATAACGTTTTTGCTGTCAGAATATTCGCAGATGACATGGACCTGTTTGGTGAAGACGCTGATAATATACAGTCTTTGGTAGCATTGAGCAACCATGCCAGGATGCTTGGAATTCATTGTTGCATCAATACTGTCCTGCATCAACACCTGAACTAAGAATAGAGAGTGAAGTAGTCGAACGCGTCAACAACTTCACTTATCTTGAAGGTCCGATCAACCTTAATGGGTTGGTATCTGACTAAATCTCTGCACGAATTCAAAAAGCTCGTTTGGCTTTTGCAGACTTACGTTACCGATGGCGAAGTAGAAACATCCGTCTATCAATAAAAGTACGAGTATACTGCACGCAGTTCATTCTGTTCTACATTACGGCTGCAAAACGTGGCAATTAAGGGTAGAGGATATTCGTAAGTTACTAGTACTTGATCACATATGTCTTACAAATATTGCCAGCATCACCTGGTAAGTAATAATGAAGTTAGACGCAAGATATTAGGGATTGATATTCATCTACTGAAATGGTTCAACCACTAATTCCTTCTCCTTAAATCATATCCTTATACGCAATCTTTTTTCTATATATTACTACCATTGAAGTAACTGCTTCTATGAATTTGGTGCTCATCTTGTTGAGTTAATGAGGTATGACAACTTGGACTGATGCATATATGTTCCTGGTCCTGCGCTGTATATGACTGACTGATCATATCATTTCTATGCGAAACATATAACTTTTACCATGCTGACGACAACTGGTGGTGTCATATAGATACAGTTTTAAATCATACAAACCAATCTGTCAATTAAAAGAAAACTGAAAAGTAAACATTGATGCATTCAATAATAAATAAATATTATGATCTTTTTTCTAGGTTGCTCCATCTGTTCAAGTAAATTAGCAAAAAGCAATAATTTTAATAATAACAAAGATAAATAGGAAGTTGACAGCTGTGAGTAGATATTTTTTTTCTAAAAACAGTAGCTTTCATCACTTGTGCGTGAGTGTAATCAATTATCAATAAATAAGTAAAGAAAATGAATCTTTTTTTAGAGGAAAGACTAGGTTACAATGGTAGTTAAAGAAATACTAAGAACATAAATATAAACAAAATAACCTGAAAGCAAAAAGACAAAGCTAAGTGTCATTAATTGTGCTATTGGTACTGTGTGCGTGTGTGTCCAGGACAGAGTTCTACGAAGAATGTCGGTGGACGGCCTATAATCCTACACAAAGGGCAACAGGCGCAAGTGCATCTGTCGATTTCTTATGCCCATCAAGATGAAAATGTTAGACACATGAGTGAAAGAAGAATAAAACTGACAAAACAAACCATGAGTAAAGTTGTCTAGAGATTACAATTTGATGGAAGTAAAAAAAGAAGGTACGCAGAAACGAGAAAGTCCGATATCAAGATGAAGAGAAACTAAAAATGAAAAAAACGGCTGGTAAAAGACAAACAAGCATAACCAAAAATATAGCTGTCATAACTCATTGAAATAATATTATATTTCTATTATTATTATTATTATTATCTCGAAAGAAATAAAAATTAATTTTATCACTTGTGAGCAAATGGTCTGAAAATAGAGGAAAAGTAAATAAATGAATAAAAATCATCTTTATAACAATTGCATAACATGTATATCAAAATGAATGAAAATTAAATAAGTTTAAAGCAAAAAGACCCTATTGAATGAAATAAGAAGTAAAAATATTTATGAACAATGTCAATACAACACACAAATAGAGATAACACAAACATAGAATTAAGTATAAACCACATTATAATCAAAGTATTTTACTATCATTTAAACAATAGATGAATTATTTGAAAAACTTTGTGGATGATTATCATAAGATTCAATTAAATGCTCTTCAAAACAAATAAATCTTGAAGATGGATTTACATGATGTGAATTGATTAAAGGGATATAAGGAGTATTATTGAATGGAGATAACCGGGTAGCGGATCGATGTCTTATGCATCCGGAAATCTACAGAATAGTTGTAAATAACAACAACAACAAAAAAAGGAAATATTTAATAAATAGTATTACGGCAAAACATAAGTTAAAATAGAAAACATATATAAACTGAATAGACAACAGATACGATGACGTGATGATGGTTTCCAAATTGAGAGAAAAACAAATTGAAAAACCAAATCTCACAGAGAACACCATACAATTAATGTCAAAATTCAATGGTATACACTATTAAATAATATTTAAATTCAATCAACAACAGGAAAAGAAATGAATTATTCAAAGTTTTGTCGAATTCTAACTTGAATAATGGGGAAAGAAATAAAATGGTATTTACAAAGCACTAAAAGCTTTAAATTTGACAACTATCTAACAGGGAGTTCGGTTTTTTACAAAAAAAAAGCGTGTAATTGAGAGTTGTACAGAATAACAGTTTCAATGTAACAACTTGCATCAGGTTCTACCTTATGCCTAGATTATTTCAGTAATCTATTTCAACTTGTGCGATCAATTTGTTTAGTGAAATCACACCACTAACATTTTTCATACGACAACTGTGATACCATTGAACAATATAGGATTGATAATAAAATAAAAGAAACATACTTCAACAATTTACAACAAAATATAGTATCGACAACATTATGATCAAGAATACACGATAGAGGAATTACAATAATAATACGACAATACTACACCACTGTTACTATTTAAGTCATTGGTAATAAACTATCATTACTTACTGAGACAATAGGTTTTCGGAGACGAACACTAGATGGGTGGTATTAAGTGAAGGAAGGAGAGGATACATTTAGAAGGTGAAATAAACACAAAGACTAAAATGAAATGAAAAAATTGTAACCTGTTGATTATTCACACAAGCTCCTTGATTTGATTAATGTTATGATAAAACTAAATAGAAAACTGCTAATTAAAACGTCGGAAGTGAAAAAAAAGACTGCATGAAGCTATATTGCAAGCTAATATTGAGGACCAGAGTCCCCCCATCTAGGCAGTATTAACTAACTAACTAACACTTTATCACATTTTCCCTTATCGACAGTAAGCTTATTTTATTTGCATATACAGTAAGGACTATAAACAGTATCATTGAACTCATCAACCGATCAAAATTAAACTAGGAAGCACTGAACGATCGATTCGTCTTAGTACAGGACTCCTTAGCAGTGCTCACGACCCCGAGAGTAAGAATCAAACCCAAGACCTTCAGCCCCATGTGCAGACGCCTAATCTCTAAACCACTCAACCGGCATTCAATGGTGCTAACAAAGTATATTTAATGGTACTTAACATTATATAAGCAAAAAGACAGGATGTTTAGTATTCTAATAAACTAAATGTTCACAAAGAGATGAATCTATCACATTGACTGATCTTACCCAATATTTACATCACCACCTGTGTTATTATTCACCTTTGGTTTTCGTGCACATACTGACCTAGAAGAAAATAAAGTAAGAAACGATGTACATTATCCACAATGTATACATGTAATTTCAACGTGCATATGTGTATGTTTACATGGAGGAGAAAAATTGTTGCCATATGTATGTAATAATACTAATACAGATAAAAATTTATTTGCAATATATCAATGAGTAGGAAACTGAATTTTTGACATTTCGTAGATTGTTGTAAATCGGTTTTTCAACAGAGTAAATAAATGCCAGTATAGAAGTTTACGGAGATTGCTGAATATTATTGAGGACAGGAATCGACACAAGCTCGACAACCAATGCAAACCGGAAAGGACTAGACGGGTGTTTGATCCTAATGTGCGACTCCTCAGTAGTGCCCATCTACTAACCAATCAGATATAAAACCTAGGACGTCTAAGTCTCGAAGCGAAGCCTAACGTTTAGACCATTGAGTCAGCGTCCAATGGTTCGCGTGTTTACCGTCAATCAATTCATGACATTGGCTCAACCATTTTCCATTTTCGGTGAGGCAGTCGCATACTAGGGATCCACTGCTTCCTGGTTTTCATTGATTGATTTTAGATCACAATAGACAACCGAATTAAAATTAATTTTAACTAGCACGGAGGAACAAAAAATGGTATTACATACAATGCGAACAAACTTGATTATGCTACCGTTACATCACTCAGGTCAAAGATGAGACAATCTTTGTGTTTATTGATGCATATCTAAGTGGGTATGAAAAATGTAAAATTCGTAATGCGAAGCATGTAGAGCAGATTTGTGTGCGTTAACAGGTGTGTTTAAATGTGACTGTTTGGATAAGTAATTCATGTTGGATAGATAATTATGCTTTCCTTATGATTGATTGCAGTAGTGTTTGGCAATATACAAAATGCTTTAGCCATTCGCATTTTTCAATGGTTGAGAAAAAATTGATTATCTGAATTTAGACATGATAGTGGCTGACATTGGGTTTGAAATTGTGTTGTCGTCTTAAATGTATAATTTGATTATGTAAAAGAGTTAATAATCAAAGTAATTTCTACTAAGATTTGAAAGACTTGGGGTTTAATCCTGTGTAAAACAACTGTTCATTTCTTAACAATCTTTCATCTAAGTCCAGTCCCTAATCAAAACAATTTTCAAATTACACACTATTACTACATATTCCAATAAACAGTAGTGAGCTGGTGGTTAACACTATGATTTTTATTGTTCATTCCATGTCATTCAGCTCCATAAAAAGGTTCGGATGATGAGCTATATCAGTTAATTAGTTAAACATACACAATGTAGAACCTGAAATCTATGTCCACAGCAGTTCTAGTTGCCATACCACGTTAGCACAGCGAAAATAAATTATTTCAAGACGTATATCAGAATAGTAGAAACCTTTAGGGAAAAACGTTTTAAGGCAACTTCGAGACTGAAGTTCTGAAGAAAGTCAAAGAGTGACAGCATTTACGCAAGTTCGAACGATTCTGAGCCACTTCATTCAAAGTGTCTATCCTTTGGTTATGATAGCCGTGAGGTCTCCAACTAGCTAGATTTGATCAGATAAACCTAAGACTGTATTAACTGAAAGTAAAATAAAACACTTAAAAATTAATACCTGTATCGTGGATTATTACATTGACTTGATCTAGGTTTTCTAAGTTTAGGACCAGCTGAAACTCCCCCGCTGTTGCCATTCTTCTTTTGATTTACATACCAACGATATTGATTTTGAATTAAAAGTGCAGCTTGACATAATCGTTTATAATATGCATACTAATGAAATAAAGAAAAAAGTTGAATGCTACAACTAATCATATACACTAACACGTATTAATCTTTGTAGACACCGAGCATTCAGTAACTCTTTTCGATGAACTTAAATATTCAGTTACTTACCGATTTGTGTTATCATTAGAGTTCTACAGTTCAGTCGTAATTCAAATAGCTAATTGCTAAAATCTCTGACTGCGGTGCTATATAGAACTGGTTTGAATTTCTAGTGATCAGTTTTCAGAAAATCGTAGATACACCTTATTGATGTCTATCAATCAGTACGAAACTTAGATCGAGGACTTTCTCCCAATTTCCTACAGCCACATGATATTAAGGAAAATTCATCTCAATGTTAGTCAAGCTAAGTAGCTTAATTGTCACAATGTAAATCTGATGAATTTTTTCCAAAGAGAGTTCAAAAAAGACAAGAACCAAGAGAAATTGTTGTGTCATATTAATTTTTCTAAATCAAAATTTAACGAACATTGTGTAATAAGGTGAATTCATTTCTATTTGTCTGTAAACCGAATGACGCGAAATAGAAGATGATACAAACATGTTACAGCATCCATAAAGAATAATTTTTAATAAATATTCAATAATAATTGTTTCATGCAATGTTTTGATTAAATAAATCAATAAGATACTGGTTATAGTGGAGCGTAAACAAACGACAGATAAACATACTAAGTACCTGTTTATAACGTCTGTAATAACTTTGAATAATAATCGCAGCCTCAATTTCTTTATTACATGGCCCACTGGATGATGAAGTCATTGATGGTTGTGATGAATTCAATGATTGTATTGAAGTTGAAATACAATTGGAAAAGTTATTTGTTGTTTTCAAACAACAATTGGAATTTGATTCTCCAGGTAAAGATAATTGACCAGACTGAATGGATTGAACTTGATATGAATTATCATTATCATTGGTTACTGTATTATCGTATGATGTTTCTATTTCAACTTCAAGGCCTACAGATGTATCATTTTCGAAACCCAGTAAAACATCACTACTCCATTCTTGTTTATCAGTTGGAAAGATGACAGTATTGTTATTCTGCTGAAGTTGTTGTACAATCTGATTCGTGTTGTTGACATCACACACATTTTTTGAATAAAAATTAATATTGGATAAGGATTTATCTGTTTCAGTAGTATGATTATGGTTTGATGAAGAGTATAAAACAGGATTAGGTATAAATGTATTGGACAATTGATTGTTATTATTATTATCATTACTATTATTATTATTATTATTATTATTATTTTGAATAATAACCGACTGATTGTGTTTTTTATAAGCTCGATAATATTTCTGTATAATTTTGGCTGCTTCGTATAAACGTTTCTGTTCCATATCCGATAGTGTTAATCTACTTAAGTCAGTTTCCATAAATTTTCCTGGTACTGCATTAAAATGTTCAGCAATTTGTGCTGTAGATGGCGGTGGACTATTTAAACTGAAAGCACTTAATGATTTCCCTTGACGATCACATCGAAGTACATCATAATCATTTTCATCATTTAAATCTGAACTCATAAAACTAGTAGAACTAAAAGGTGTATTGAACATTGAATTCGAAGTGATAACTCCACTATAAATAACAAAGACATTAAAACAATAATTGGGAAATGGGGGTGGAGTGAATGTCTAAAATTTTCAAAACTAATTAAAACGTTCTAAAATTCCATTTTCAATTCTTTGGAAAGCTACAAGTGGACATAAACTCAGAGTAATACAGAATATTGGACTACCAATTTTTAGTAACTAACAAAGTATAATAAATTCGCACGCGAGACGAAAGGTCCAAGGCTTGATTTTCTGTAACACGATTGTAGATGTGCTCTGATGAGGAGTTTCATACTAGGACAAAACAAGCCTAGTGATTTCAGGTTTTCGTGGTGGTATAGCTGAAATCAATTCGTAATTTAAACTATGAATATAGTTCAATTAGTCAACGTACGTTGCTCATCATTGGCTAGGAACAACCTATTTCAAAATTAATTATTGAATTAAAAGTAATGATAAAAATTGTGATAACCATCGTATCTATGATTGAGGTCAGAAAAAGGCAAAGTGTAACTCGTGAGATTATTGAGACCATTTAATCCTTATTATTTATAATTAATTTAATCTGTAATACTGTATATTATTCCGCTTTTTTGATATTTTTGACTGAATTTTGAGTCATATATTGGTATACATACAGACTGCCTCAATGTAACACTTATGCTACAAGTTTTACAGATTAAATCAATTATGGATAGAAGTGGAAATGTCCTATTTGGGACTCGTCAGTTGAATGTATCTACATCCGAGTACTGATGTAGACCTTAAGGATAGAACTTACCAAATTTCGCTTCAAACGCTCAGCGCGTTGTCCATTGAGCTACTGAGTTCAGAGAGCCGCTAGATCGTAAAGTAGGCATTCAATTTAATTTGTAATGGTTTGAATTAACCTGTTATCAATCTTATCTTGTTTGATGCATCCTAAACAGAACAAAACCTGAGTCCTGAATTCCACAATCCATCAATTCTATAGAGTTCGAATTTATTTTTTGCGTAAGATATTTTGTGCAAGCTGAAACACTCAACCATAATTAAAGACACAAACAGAAACAAATGGTTTAACTTTAATTTAAAAAGAAAATTGGATGTCATGCTTGTCGTAGTAATGGATTCATACTCCTGATGAGTTACATACTACGGAAGTATTATTTTGAAGCTGTCTGATTTTTAATGGTTATCTAATAAAAATTAGTTTGTTAGCAAGCTATCAATAAAAAATAATGTATTGTGATCATAAAATTACACGTACGTTTCATGAGAATTCAATTCAACACTGATTTCATCATCATTGAAAGTTTTCAATCCACTTTTATTTTGTTGAATAGGAGGAGTAAAATATGATCTTCTTCTCAAAGGTTCATGAAAACTAAGTAAAGCACTTTTTAACTGATGATTCACTTTATTTTCTGAATAATCATCGATGCCAACACCACGATATCTAAAACTGTTATATAATGTCAAATATTTATCACGATAAGGTCGTTTTGATGGAAGTGAATTAAATGAACCAATTGATTTGTTATTTTTATGATTATTACTAACTGACTTAGTTTTTATATTTGGAAAGATTTTAACTGGATATTTTTTTGTATCATCATTATTTGTTAATTGAATAGGATTAGTATTAATGGTTAAAGTGAATGGTTGATAATGCAACAATGAAGAATGTGATTTGAGTTGATCAACTGGTGCTCGACTCAAAGCAATACTTTCACCTAAAGCTGAATCAGAAAATTGGATAGAAGAAGAATGGGACTCTTCACCATTATAATTATCATCATAATCTACATGAGTTGATAGTAGATCATCACAGTTTTGATTATGAAGATTAACAATACGCCTGGGCATAGCCTAAAAGAATATTTTGAAACAGAAGAAAATATGATGGAAAGTGTTTCAAATGTAGATAAAAAGAAGTGCTAGTAGACAGAAGTAGGTAAAAACTTTCTGGAGAATTTGAAATTGAACCTGTTGTAAAGTGTTCTAGTTATTTAACAGAAACATTATCTGCAATTAAATGGAATTCACATAATCGCATTTGTTTTTTACTGAATTTATGATGTAAATGTATTGTGTAGACAGATTGTTTAATTTCAAATATTTAAAACAGTTAAAAAGGATTTGGATTTATGAATAAATACGTATATTTTACAATGTTTATGTGTGCATTAGCCATCATATCTCACTTCCTTTTGTGCATCACTCTATACTACTTATTTATATTCAGTAACCCGTTTCGACTTTAAAAACTTTTGAGTGTCTAGTGGAAAGCACATTATTGTTGTATGATATTCTTGAGCATTGTCATGAGCTGACGATATTCAATTTATTTATTACTGTGTTCATATCTGTATAATACTGATAACTGATAGTTTTAATTCTAGTGTATCTATTGGACAATCTTTTTATTGTAACGGTTCCCATATTTGATCTTCGTTCATGTTTTGACGTCATCTGTCACTTTAATTTCGACACAGCTATCAGATGTCACGTCTTACCGTATGCTGTTACAAATTTCCGTTTATATCTATTTTAAGGAGCACTTTCCTGTGATTGTATACAAGCTCAGTAAAAAGTTTAGATACCGTATGAGTTTAGATTTCTAATTAATCTCAATAATAGTTTCTAAATAAAATTACCTACTCTGCAGATAATCTCAGGTGTTGGGATGCCTCCTCATTCAATGCATCACTATATTATGTAATCAGAGCTTATATAAGCACTTGAAATTGAATGTAAATACATGATAATCACCCGAAGATATAATCAACTATTTATAGATCTTTAATTTAATAATAAACAACAAATTCCAATCAAGTGAATTAATACAAATGAAATCAATAGTATGAAACATTTACCTATCGAGACATAAAATAACAAATATTGGTTCAGAGAAGAGTTCTCTTTTCAAGAAATTCATTTACAAAGCTGTACGATTGCAAATATGTACTGATCTTTTAAGATGATAATATTTAAAATAATTTTATTATCATTATTATTGTAATTATTATCATGCTTAGAAAAAATATACATATATTTGCTATTGTACAGTTTTGATAAAGAATTAGTTGAAAAGAGAACGCTTCGCTGAACCAAGCTTTCTTAGTTTGTGAAACACTTACTTCAATTATTCTGTCAGCTAAACAAAACATCTGAGAATGATCATCATTCATTAAATTTGTTACACTAGCATAAAGAGAAGTTGAGTCTAAACAACCATGATGATAGTGATGACGTCGATTGTATGTTTGTTTACGCCAGGTACATATATTTTTACGTTGTACATTTGAATCTAAAGTAATGTCATCTTCATAAAGTTCATTATGAGTATCAAACGAATTGTTGTTATTCTCGATTGCATATTTAAAATTATCTGAATTATCTATAAACTGATTGGTTGCTGGTGTTGGTAAAGACTTTAAAATTTTATTCAAGTTTTTTGAAGGATAACTTGTACTAGATATATTATGTAACGATGTAGAGTGATAAAATGATTCTTTTCCTGGGATATCATCATCGTCAATAGATACATCTAGACTATAATTTTGCTTTGAATAGTCTAACTTAATCATATTCGATTGTTTATATAACAATGAGTGAGGAAATGACGACGGTTTTGTATTAACATCAATTTCCGTGAGATCAATATGATTTGGTAATGAAACTGTTTCCGTATAATTAATAAGTCTTTCTAATTTAGTTATAACAGTATCTGTTGCATAATTTTGTGCATTTGATGAAAAATATTGTACTTCTAATTGTTCAATACACTTTTGCATGGATTCACTTTTGATGACCAATGCTAACTAGAAAAAAAAGAATTTAATTCAATGAAAACAAAAACGTAATTAACATTAAAAAATCATGTTGATGAGATTTGTTTTAAATCAGAAAAAGAAACAAACTTATTTAGTTTTTAAGTCTTCGATTCCACTTTTTTCAAATAATGACCAATAACCATGTAAAACTAACTTTATCATTTAATGATGTTAATGAGTTTAACATAAAGAAATGATTTACTTGTGAGAAACACTTTACATTGATGTTTACATCTATAAGTATGAATTCGTTGTGAACGCATTATGAATCTTTTATGAAACAGAACATTGGACTAAGATCCATTCTTACTAATAGCTATTAATAGCAGTAGGTGAGTGTTAATAGAGTGGAATATATATGAATGATACTGAAGGTTAGGAAACAATTAACAACGCTGTGTACGTGTGATTTAATGAATAACTAAACAACATTCGAATAATCAAGGTGTTGTTTTTCCTGATTCATTAAAAATTTAGAGCAATAAGACAGAATGGTGCAGAAAGGTTCAGAACTCGATATAATCTAAACTATTTCTATAATCAGAAATATTATGAGATATCATCTCCATGTGTAATCAACAATTCAAATCCATAAAATTAAAATAACGGTTTCGTCTGCTACTTTCTTTTCACAACTCAGTTTTACGTGAAATGCTTAACGTTAAATTAAAAGTTTGTTCAAGTGTTCTTGGTTAAATTGATTTAAATATAAGTGTTGGAAATTAACTGAATGTTGTATCAATAAAATCGTTTTTATGGCAAAGCAAGAGGAAGATAAGTAAGGAGATTTATACAGCTTATATCTGTCATGTGTAATTTTCATTCTATTGCACAATTTCTTGATCCCTATAACTTTCTGTCCTATGGATCACAACCACACATATAAGCGAATATTGTAAGCTTCTTCTTGTCATAAAGACTACAATTGCTACATCGAATTCCCACTGATGAAGTCAGATGTAAATGTTGAGACCGAATTTCATTGGGACAATGTAAAGATTTCATCAGTAAATCTTATTTTATTGTACAGCGTCCTGAACATATATTATCAATTATTTAAAAACCATTTAGAAATTCTTTAGTTTAGATCACAACAACACATAGGCGATCAATATTATTCCTATATTAGGTAATTCGAGGTATTCGATAAAAAATCGTGTGTCTAGGTTTCGTGTTAGCTGGTACTCGCCCGTAAGAAATACATCCAGGTCTTGAGAAAACTAGTAGCCCCTGTAGGATTTGAACCCATATCAAACTGCTTCACAGTCTGAAATGGTGCTGCTGGGCTATTCAAGCCTATTGCGGAGCCTGCTGTTGAACTGAGATATTTACAGTGAATAATCAGTAAGTAGTGATTGACGTCATGTTTATTTAGCTTTCTGAAGGTTGGTCGGATTCTATCGACCAGGTTTTAATGTGGCCATCAGTTTAAGTAACTCGATATTGAATGTACTATTTTCGATATTATTTATATGTGAACATTAACTGACACGAGGTGAAGTTATTTCGATATTCGAATGATGACAATAAAATATACCATTTTAGAGTAGCAATTTTTTTGAGTTTTTAATCGGTAAAAGAAAGCCATGTAAATGTGTTGATATTTAAAGTGACTGTAATTATTGAATTAGCAGTTACTCAATGAAATAAACAAGAAATGTGATATTTCACTGAATAATAAAAGAATCCGCTTACTTTTTCTGGCGTAAACTCACTACCCGATTTTGAAAACGATGATAATGAATTATATAAACAAGGTTTATGAAGAGCATCTGGATCCCATACTACTAAGAGCTTCGTCGTTACAACCTGTTCGTGCAGAATAGCTGAACCCAATGGCGTAAGTGTTGAATAAGCAAGGGAGGGGGAATTATTTGGGGTTAGATCTATACCAAGTGAAGTACAACAGAAAATTACTAAACATAAGAAACAATACAACTTTATGAAATAGATCAATCACCATGTACGTAACAATACACGAAACCAAGCGAAGACCTTATAAAAGATCACGAACAGGAATGAAAGATTATAGTTTGATTATGGATGGTTCTGCGGTGTAATTTTAATCTTTGGTTCATCCAGGATAAGAATAAATTCCTGAGATATTGGTTCGCCGTTGATTTTAAAATTTATTGGTATATACACTAATCAAATTATTTTAACCACTTTGAAGTTTATATGCCAAAATAATAACGGTAGAGAGACAGAAATTAGAGCATATGTTATCAATCATTAATACATCTCAAATCCGGAACGGCTGTTCACAATGTTTATAGTTATTTGTTTCTTATTGACTTGTGATGTTTGTCATTATAATGCATTTTACTGTTTCTCTCTTTATGACTTTCTATGTCGTGTGTTTACAGCAGCGATAATTCGAGATGGTATACTATTAATTAAGTATGTACAAAATGAGTTATATTGCAAACAATAATGTTTTCAATTAGGATATGTCTTTGTTTTCATCTGTACAGCTCTAAATGTCACTGAAAACAATTTCAACATTATGTAAAAGACTTATACATAATACTTTTCTTAAACTATAAATGTTTCAGCTATACACAAAGATAATATAAATCATAAGGAATGAATATTTTGTTGATTGAACAACATTATTAAATATACAGACTAACCATGTAAAAGAGATAAGATCCTAGATAAATCTGTATCGAAACCTGATTGTAAAGTTGAATCACAGTGATCTGTAAAGAATGGTGTAGGTTGATTACAATAAATTCGTACAGCCCACTGCAACAGTCCTAGTATCAGTTCAGAATAACTAAAAATGAGAAAATAAACAAACGGATTGATTGAAACTGGCAAATCATTGAAAACCAGAGAGTATTAGATAGCTATTTTGTTCATGTTCAAGATTCTACTGTTTGCACACCTACGAACCTGCCAGGAATCGAACCTAGAGTCTCACTATCACTCAGCGAACACATTACAATGATTTATCACGGAGTGAGTGAAGATAAGAATTCGGAACATTGAGTTTCAACATAGTGGATTAAAAATAACCCACCAACAGCAAGGTCTGAAAGTCCTGGTTTCGAAATCCTATTACTAGGATGAAATAGCTATCAATAACTCCTTGCTTTTCAATGGTTCACTAACCAAAGATGTCCGAAACCATATCATAATTAAGTTGCTTTCTCTTTACAAGATGACAACAAAAAAATACAGAAGAATTTTTAATAATGATCTCTAGCTTCACAAACCAAATCGATCTAGCAACTGAGTTAAGAGATTCAAGTGGTAATTAGATACGAACTATATTTAAGTTACCTATTGTTTTGCGCTCGAACAGTCATAAGTGCCTAATTTACCAAATCTATTAAATGGTAATCCAAATATGTACATTTTTATGTAGATCTTAGAGCATACAGTGTTTTTAAATAAAAATTACTGATAAAAATAAAATTTTAATAAAAGGATTGTTTTAATAGGTTTATTCCCAAGACTACACAAGGCTACATTAAAAATAACGACTGGGATAAATACAATTAATGTGAATAAAAATGGTCGAAAACGTTTATATGAATAACAACTTGGACAAGTATAATAAGACTAACATATATTTTCTTTAGCCCAAACATAATAACGGCAGTCTTTTCCAAATAAGACAAAAGATGATTCAATCAGAGACCACCCATAATCTTTTATAAGGTTGTCATACTTCACAACAGTGCAGTCCAAAAAAAAATCAAAGGAAATGAAAGTAACAGTCATATCAATGATATTAACAGTAAAATATATAAAATTTAGTTCAAAAATTATAAGTCCCATTACCGAACAAAAAGTTTGACGTAATATTAAACCTTCGGATTTAGAAAAAATAATGAATACAACTGCATCGCTGAGACGAATTTTTATCCATGTCACTTATGTTTTTCATATATTACGATTGTACCACGAACACGACTAGAAAGTTTGGATCTTCTAATATAGCCTAAAAAATATATCAATGAAGCTACATCATTTTCGCTTGAAGGCAACAGAATGACTCCAACCTGCCCCGATCCCAATAACAGTTTCTTTGTGAGGTATAACGACCTAAGTAACAGACAACACATCCTTTAATTGGCAAAGGATAGCAGATTTGGATATTTAGCGCCACGCCTTTCATTCGGTATCATACATAAGATCCAGTCAAATATTCCCAGAGCTTGATGGTATAGGGATACTTAACATTTAAATCACGATAGCCTTAAAACTATTTTACTGGTGCGAACACGATCTGTACTTTTCTTTAGATCTGAAACTTCTAATCAAATATTTTATACCTAGTCGTTTTCCATTGTGGTTTTTCTCACTAATAAATCTGTTTTTTCAATACCAAACATTTACACAGATGTTCTTCAAGTATGAGGTATACAAATAATTAGTATCCAATAGTTTGAGGTATGTTCAACTAGTTTTGTCTCATGGATTGAATACTATCATTCACGACCACGGCTTCAAGTTATGTATTTAGCCTATGATTTATTCACATATGATCTGCACACGTATAAACATATTGCTTCTTTTTCAGTTATTACTATTTTCACTACACTTCACACCAATAACTCGTATTCACATTCGCACTTAAATAACTCCCGAACTCAATAACTTAAAAATGATTGGACAATGGTTTAACTGAACAGTTGTTTTGGGAGCCTACTTATAATCGATTATTGTGATTTTTGAATAATTCCCTAGAGATGCTAGGGCCAGATTGTTGCGAGAGATGTTGGAGTTATTTTAATTTCAATTTCTGCGAAGTTTACGAAAACAATTTCCTTTTAATGATTTCCATTAATTTTCAACTCAAGTATTCTTTCAAACATAAATGCAAATTCTCATAAGGTTCATGTTATTCACCCTGATAGTATCGTATTCGGAGACAAATTTCGTCTTTACTTCCAGGGCTTTACAAGTAACTAAGGTATGGTAAGAATCTTAGGGCAGATTCTATGATCACGATTACTTGTTATATCATTTCCCTTAACTTGATTATAATGTTTATAAATATTCACACTTAAGTCTAGATTTTCCATATTATACTTCCTTATTATTAAACACATTACATGATCTTGATCTTAATTGTATTCAACTTTAATCAACCTAATTTAACAACAAAATACCCCTATTTTGTAAACTATTACATAATTGTACACTTAATTAACGAAAATTACTTATTTTTCTCATAATTCGCATTAATATTCTAACACATATATATTATCTTAATAATGAATAGTTATAGAGATTTAAAAAATTAGCGTTGCTTCAGATTGAAAAATTAAAATATATTAGAGCTTTAAGGATTTCGACTATCATTACATACTAGTACATGATAATATCGCACGTTATGTTGCACTTGAATGGATGTATGATAATAAGCACTACGAATCTATAGGAACTAACCTACATGGAAGCCTAATTTCAAGCCATGTAAACCACAATTAATTAAAGGAGCTCTTGGTTTATAAAGGAAAGTTTTATGTTTGAACTGTTAACAGTAAAATCTTGGTTTAAGATTGACAGCATTCAAATCCATAGTAGCTTATACTCTTTACATTGTTAGTTACTGTATTTGTGGTTCTTGAAAACATAATTTTCAAGACAGAGGAGTAGTGCCTTTACGTTATCTCTTCGTAATCGCATAAATATTCTGAAGGTAATTAACAGCAGGTTGAAACAAAAATATCAAGGGGAAAATAAAATTACAGTACTGAAAAAGCTTTTGTTTATGAAAATATAATTCAAATGGTATGTAGCAGCAGAGATCTTGAAAAATTCAGAGAAAGATCCTTTATTTGACGCAGTCCACTAGGTACCTGATCTCATGATGCATAAAGGAAAGACTAATGCTTTGGATCAGCTCGATGTGCATAGGTCAACTCTACTTGATCTTTTGAAGTTGGTTATTTCGACCTCATAAAGGATGCAATTCCAAACGCCAGCACTATCATGTAATGTTGTCTAAAAATGAAGGTAAGCCAATCAATTTTACAAGGTCTCTGAAAATTCAAGAGTAAATATTTAAGATGCCCATTTTGGCCAAATATAGTTAGTGAAGTCGGTAGGGACTTCTGGAGAAGCACACATGGAAGCACAGAACGACTGGCTAGGCTCAAAAGTTGTTTCTGCAGTGGATTTTTCCGCTTTCGGTTTTATTTCCTGTCTGCTAATTGTTTATAATCTATGTACCACAAATAAGTGATTGATTAAACCTTTGAGTGTTGGAAGTCTTTTTACAGTCTTTGAAAGAACAGTGGTGTTCGTTGGTTGAGGTGCTTTGTGAGCTGGTGTTCGTATGATTTTTAGTTTGTGTGATTGTTGTACTTTGTGTATGTTGTGGATCACATGATTGCATGCGTGGTGTTAGCCATCCCGCAGTCTTGTATATTTTTGATCTGGTGATGTTTTGGTCAGTTTTTGATCGTATTTTTGGGTGTCTATTCATTTCTTTAAAGATAGAAAATAGTCGATTGCAGTTTTCGTTGAGGTATTTGTATATGAACTTTCGTTTCTCAGTTTGTGGTTTTGCTCTTTCATTCTGGTTAATTATGACATTGCTTGGATTGTCTGTTCAACTTGCTAGTAGTCTATCTTTTATTTCCCCTATAAAAAAACCAAGTTACCTAAGCCCATTTCTTGCACGTACTTTTCAGTTACAGTTTGGATCCGCTATGTAACTTTTCAGATGCCCCAATATCAAGTTATTTGATCTTCCGTCTCTGACCATCAGGATTAAGCAGGATACACTTCAGATATTGGCTTTTTAACTTCTAGAGTGCTAACGCTAAGAATCCCCCACTTCAAATATATCAAAAGGCAATAATACTAATGAAACTTTACTTCAAAATTAGTATATGTAAAAACAAGCCAAACATTTTGTATGTGATTACGTGAGATTTTCAATATGTGAAAACTTCCTAATAAGACGTCAAAACTGATAATCTTTCACAAGCATGACCAAAAACATTAGGAAGACATAAATAAATGCCTTAAAGTCCAGAATTTATTTATTATTTTAAAAGACAGCTGATCGCACAGATATATTAGCTATACTTTTTTTGGTTTTCCTTAGTTTCAGTGACAATCATAGAGAGAAACTTCCTAACAGAGTTCAAATGTACAAATCCTAATATCTTAGTGTTGCGTGAATAATTAATTAACATGGACGTTTTTCAAACACAAAAAGCATATTCCAAAACAAAACAACCTTAGCAAAATGTAATCATGCGAAAACAACTTACCCCAAAGCAGCTGCACAACTTAAAAGAGAAATATCTATCTTCAGTGAAGTCATTTGTTCTTGTAATTGTTGAATATTGAATTCATCAAATTCATTTTCAGCTTCTGATAAGTAATTGACAGAACTTTGATATGTTCTAGTACTATTATTATTACTAATATTATCTGTTTTCTTCATCCATTCGACTAGTTGTAGAACTAAATACATTTCTAATTTATCTGCACATTGATCATGCCGCAGTGGTATATTCACCTGTACGAACATGTTTTATTTTACAAAGAAAAAAAAAGCCATTAAAGTGTTACATTGCGGTAAAGATGATAACACAGATAAATAAATAGTTTGGTGTCAGGTGACTGAAGCTAATCGATGAGAAACTCTCAACCTAAGTTTATGTGCTAGTCGGTAATCATCACCATGGTGTTAGCGAAGGTAAGATGGCTGATGCATCAAGAAGTATTAGAACCAGTAATCGCCGATGCTGCTGATCAGAGAGGTCACCAATAAGCCATTCAGATTGAGGTGGACTTTATGTACGAGTGAAATTTCAAACTAACTGATCCATAAGTAACAACCAATATCGTAGTGGCTTAGTCCTTACGAACGACAGAAGTCTATTGATCAAATTGCGCTGTGATCACTTGTTAATAAGGAAATTGCATACTTTAATAACACAATTTATACTGTAAACATATATGATTCACCTTTGTATAATAATAACAGACGACCGCAATTATAGCACAGACTTGCATACAAAAAAAGGATTGAATTAAAGATGTTTAAATAGTTCAACGGTAATACATGTTAAAATATCTTTTAATCAATTAGATACTTTAATAAGATGGGTGTATGAAAAACTTACAGTCTGGCCAAAATGATTATGTAAACTAAAACATACACTGTCTAAATCATAAAACTATTATTTATGGTTAGATGGAGGTCAAATTATCACATTTTTACAACCGCGGCTTCCAATGGGGTGGTGGAAAGAAAAAACTTTCAAAACGAAAGCACCAATGTTTGATCTGAACAACACATACAAAAAGATAGATACACTGAATGGTAAATTTTAACTGATGGTAACAAAGTGAACAGTTTGCAAATTGATGCATAAAAAAATAATTCTTGGAAGATTGTTAACAATCAAGTTACCTGTATTCAGATCTAAACCAGTCAACAAGAGAGGGACTACATAATAGATACACTTAGCATATAAAATTTATGAAGATTATAATCTTTTTAGACGATTAACAGAAATAAAACTAAACCAACGTCATAATATTACCTAGCAGTACACAAACCAGGAGATAATTATTCAAAACTTTCAATAAAACAAACTCAAAGAGAGACAATGAAGTATAAGTTCTTCAAATAGAATAAAACGAACCAGGACAAAACGACTTAACATCCTAGTAAAGGTTAATTTTGCCAATAGATTAAGTTGGAAACATATGGCTACAATTTCTTCTGACATTTCATTAATATGATAATAGTTAACTAATCGACATATATGCAATCAACATTAGTGATTTCGAAAGCGGTTATTATTCAACAATAAAGTTATATAAAACACACCATTACACTATTAGAGAATCCAAATTTCACTGATTGAAAATCCTTATTTCCGAAAAGAAATTCATATTTTACGAAGTTGTAGGTACATTCTTTAGAATGAATTTTGAAAACTACAAATTCAAGATCTTGATTTTGCCTCCAAATACGACCCAGGGTGAGAAGAGTTATCTCTCCCTCTCGAAATACTCTCACATGGCCACATGTATACAGCCACTACCAGGGAACACCTACACACTCACGGCCCTCTTGTGAAGGGGGTGTTGTTTACAAAATTAAGAGGATGAAAAGCGAATTTCCAATACTTTAACCGGGTTCGTGAATATGGAAGATTCACCTAGGGGAGTTGGAAAACTCTGATATCAAACCGATGGTAAACATGAGCTGCAGGATCCTGAACAAACAAAAGGCGTACGAACCCATTGTTTGTCACGGGATTGCATCTCCCTACACCGCTCCACTCTCTTGTGCATTAGACCTTTAGGTCGAAAGCTCCAGTTGTGATCCCCTAAGAAAACCACCTGCTTCTGTCTGGACACCCGGGGAATATCACAGGCCCCACACAAATCAAGTGACTTGTGAGACGCATATGTATTTGGTGCCCTTTGTACCAGTGTTCATGTGTTTAAATAAATAAGTATAAGATCTTGAAGAATTAGTCAACTGTCGTAGAATAGTGAATACGAAAAGATAAACCTTATTAACTTAGTATTATATTTCTTTGATCATCTAAATTATTGAATTGATATGAAATAGTTCCCAAAAATTAAGAAAAATTATTCTATTGTTATCGATTATACTATTTTTTATTTAATTTATTTAAATATCAATTAACTAACCTTAGGATATTCATCAAAGTTACTTGTTAAGTAATTTGTAAGCATTGAATTCGAAACATTGTCAGAATGTATATCTTCCACATGTTTCGATGTAATTGATGTATTATTATAATTAGATTCATCAAACGATTTGCTAAATATTCTAGATTTATGATTTGGTAATAAAATGAATTCATCTTCAATATCAATTGGTAAATGAATACCCGGTGCTAATGAACTAAAGCGAATAAACACTATCCAACGTAATAGATCATCTGGTTAATAAAACGGAAAAATAAAAACAAATAAAAATTGATGAATTAGTATCCTATAAAATAAAATCAGTAATCATATTATTTTATAAGTGGTTATGCAGAGAATAATTATTGCTTTTCTTCAGTGAGTAACTGCTTTTCACACCAGACACAGTTGAACTCCACGGAACATAGTTTCTAACAAGAACTCCAAGAAAATCCATCTTGAAGCTATTATTACTTTGTCAAAAATATGCAACAGTTGTTATTCGGTAACAACTGGGAACTGTTACAACTTATCTGAGTCAATAATATTAAAAAGATCGGTGTCAATGAGACAATTTGTAAACTAGTAATCTATAAAGGTGTCTAGAACATTAGATTGAAAAGTTTGAGAACCAAATTAAGTAGATTGTTTCACCAACAGATTAATCCGTTCATTTCTTCAAGACTGATAAATACTTGTCCATTCAACAAACTGAAAGTCTGGAAGAAATACAGAACGCGCGTTCCATCCTATTTGGGACGCGTCAGCTGGATGTATCGGCTATCTGGACTTAGTAGCTAGGCGGACAACGCGATGGCGTTTGAAGTGAACGCTACTGGGTTCGAGTCGCAGGGTAGACATCAACTTTGGGATGCAGATACATCCAGCTGTCGAGTCCCAAATAGGACGAGAAGCGTGTCTTGGATCTCACTGCTGGCCACCATCCATCTTTGCCTACAAAGAGATGGCTGTTCTATTATAAGCAGCACTGAGTGAAAATCAACATAAAAAGTAGTTACTAACCTGAGAGCTTTAATTTAAGCAAATTTATATTATTGCACCGACCAAAACTGTGCTCTGAGTATCCTCCATCAGATATGAATGGATTACAAACAGCATCATTGTGCTGGCAATTGAATTTGGTGATTTCAAAACTCTAAAATAAAACGATGAGTAAAGACATAATTATATATAATAACATCGTTGACTTTTATGCAGTCGAATTGTAGTGATCAGAAAGACAAGAGAATTTATAGCCAATTGTTGGAAATTCATTAAAAAAAAGAATGTAAACCTGAAGAATTAATTATTGAACTAGGAATTAGTGAACAGTTATTCTATTTTAGTTTGAGACTTTGTTTCATGAAATCAAGTGAATAGGACATTGGATAAAGGGATATATTATATAACAAACAGATTACAGTTTAAAATGAAGACTACTGTCTTAAAAGGAAGGTATCGGACAAGTATTAAAAGTTATACATTGTTTACAATTTTAAAACCAGGTTGAAATGGATAGGTAGTAAATTGTTGTTTTCAATGCTCCTCTTTAAAGAATTATAAGTATTTGGTGGAAATTATTATTAAATTTTCAGAAATCCCAATAAAACAAATGTATTTAGTCATATTTTACTAAGATATTCAATAGATATTCTAAAGTAGTTTTGTTACGGTGTCCTTTTGTAGTCTCGATCACACGTTTTATTTTGACTCATGTACTGTTGTATATTTCGACGTTCGCATGCATGAGAATGACAGTCTTTTCAAATTAAATTACCTTTTGTTCATTAAAGAGAATATATAACTTTGATTGTGTAGTGTTTATTCATGGATAAGATGGACAGATTTGTCTTATGAGAATACTGAATAAGTGTCATTGATTAGGCCATAAGTAATATGAACACATTCCTAGATTATGAAATGAAAATTAACTAGTTTCTAGGCAAGTGTAAACAATTTTATTGTCATTTAATAATGAACTGATACATGAAATTCAAACTGTTTCACTGATAGTGTTGTTACTCATTGAAGTGAATCAAACTAACACTAATATATCCAGTAATGGTAAAAGTAGAAATAATACGTCTCACCACTTAGATGATACTAACCTATTTACCAGTACATCGTTTAAGTACATTGAGAATAGGTTGTAGCCATACGAGACGGTCTATTTCACATTTGATTGTTTTAATTAGCTAAATGGAACGAGGTTGATGTCCAGTGCTATCTAACTTTTATTGGTCAGTTTGTGATGGAAAACAGTCTTTAAAATACTTAAAAAATAGATCAAATAGATATAATTTCAACAAAGCTATAATTAATATTAAGGCGTCTGTTCATAGTGTTCTTATACCAAGAAGATACTAATAACCATCCACTCTTAAAAATGAGAACAATTCGAAACTAATAATTTCTAAAGATCAAAATAAAATGTCACTGACATTACGTATGTACCATGAGAAGAATAAGCCCAACTATTTAATAATTTACCAAATAAACTGAATAATTCAGTAAACAATTAAAAACATCAGTTTCAGTGCATGAAATTAGAAATGATTAGTGGGTTAAAGTGCGTATGTGAGTATGTTTGGAAGAGATAGAGAGACGATAAAAGACAACATACTAGAACGTACACATACACGCAAATAAGATTACGTAGAAAATAGAACATTTATGAAAACTAAGTACTTAATCTGATTACGAGAATAAAAGGTTTAGGGAAGAATGACGATCAACTCTCAGACCAGGGCACATCCGGCTGACGAGTCCTGAATAGGACGAAACGCGTGTCCTGGATTCCACTGCTAACCACCATCCATCTCTGCCTATAATGATTGTGACTTAAGGCAATACGCTCAGAATGCAAATATGCTAATAAGAGACTAATCAATTGTAGTCCTAAACATCAATGTGAAGATTCAAACGGCCAACACAATGTGAAGAATGATAATCATCTAAAAACTTACCAAACAAAAAGAAACGACGAAAAGTAAAGTGTAAAAACTAGCAGGATACAAAATATTTTAGAAAAATATTGTGTATTAGACGGTAGTTTCTGTTCAGGTGCAGAAATCTATGAACCATAGGCATCTGTCTCTTTGATATGATCAATAAAATTGAACGATGTAGATTGATTGAAGTTGGAAATGTAAAACGCTGTATAAAACTTTCAGTAGTTATTATCAGAAGATCTGACCTTCAAGGGTACAGTTATGTGTGAAATCAAGTCTTTTCATTGATGACAAGCTTTAGATTGTAACGCATTGACAACCTAGTTTTCAGCGATTTTCGCATCTATCATTATCAACCAGAAGTCATAACAGTTTCATCAATGACTATAGTTTACATATGTTACAACAAGAATAAAATTTTTCGGATACTGGATAAATACAAAATATAGCAGAACCTTCTGTTACACATATTGGCAAAATTAAGTTGTGATACAAAAGTGAAAACCTAAAAGTGTTTTATTGATTGCAAGGGATGAAATATATTAAGTTTTTTTAGTTTAAAAATCTGTTAAACAATTTGTTCAATGATCGTAAGAATATTTAACTTGGTATTGGTGGATTGAAACTAAAATAACAAATAGCTCTCACAAATGTATATTTTGGAGAAGAGTCATGACCTAATAGTTAAAGCACTTAACTTTCAATTAGTCGATCACAGGTTCCGATCCCCCTTAGCCTATTTCGATTTGAAAAAGCGATTAGTATTATTAGTCCGCATACAACTTAAGTGGCTTATATCTGAGTATATGAATTTTTACTTAATACATGAACAAATTATTAATATTATGGGTAATGTTAGTCACAGCTCTGTCGGTTTATTCGATCTATTCCGGATAAGAATTCAATGGTTTAAATCTAGAAAAGACAATATTATATAATATTTCAACAGTAGTGGTGTTTTAATTTGATTCAAACCATCCATGATAACAATCTCATCCTCTAAACCTTCCACATCATTATTACTTTGTTATTCAAATAACTAAAAAGTTCTTTTACACAATGAAACTATTGATTACTATATGATCATAAGTTTTATGCTTAATTAATTATTATTTAATAAGTCAATCAAAACTAAACTAACTTGGATAAATATATATTTTATATCAGAAGAGGTTTTGTGAATATTACAGTAATTTCAGTGGTTGAGATCATGAGTCAGTTGAAACTAGACCATTATGGAAAACCTGGAAACACTGAACAGCCGTTTCGTCCTATTTTGGGACTCCTCAGCAGTGCGCATATACGATCTCGCCGCCCGCGAGATTCGAACTCAGAACCTATCAGTCTCGCGCGTGAGCGCTTAACCACTGAGCCGGCATCCAATGGTATTAATGTCTAACTTCAACTAATCCACGAAATTGAGCGACACATCCACCATTGTCATCAGTAAGTTACTATCTCACAACAGACCTGGTTGAACTCCACAGGTCACTGCTTCTCACTAGAACTCCAGGATATACCTCCTGAAGCCAGTCACTAGTGAGCATATGTTCATTAATATCAGAAGGGGTTTTGTAGATATTATAGTAATTTCAATGGTTGACATCATGAGTCAGTTGAAGCTAGACATAAATAATAAATGTAATTATAGAGAATTTACATTAAATCAATTTATCAGTAACTCTATATTATAAGATTTATTAAAAATCGAATTAGTGAACATACTTCAAATTTAATTAATTTAAACAATTCAATATTTAATTCAATTAAATTATGTTGCCATAAGAAAAAAAATCAATCAATATGTTTGATTATCTGTAAATGAAACTCAAATATTAAAATGTTTATGAGTTTTAATTTAAAGTCTAAAAACAAATAAAAAAGTGTAAACATTTTTTTGTAGATTCAAGAAAACAATATTAACAAAACCACTATTGGTGTCATTAATAATGATGGAATTATATAATCATGAAAGAATACTAATTAAGTGATTGTATTAAAACACGAATCTAATTGAATAACTAATAAAAGATGAAACTGATAAGTACCAAATTATTTAATTGAATCAAGTACTTAAATTAATAAAAATATGTAGATTTAAAGACAATAAAAGCATGTTGTATTCATGCTAGTGAGTTATATCAATAAATGATTGAAGTATTGTCAATGTTTTAAAATTAATGATACAGTTAATTAAAAGAGCCGCAGCCTAATAATACATAGAGCTCTTTATTGTTGACTACTAGTTAGTATGTTGAAATTCCAGTTTTCTCTACTTTAGAGGTATCATTAGCCCACATAAGAAAAGCATGGGTTGAAATCAAATGAAAAAATCTGTATTTAGTTATTAATTATTTATTTCAATTGTTGAGATCATGAGTCGATTGAAGTTAGGCCACCATGGAAAACCTGGAAACACTGGATGTCCGTTTCGTCCTGTTGTGGGACCCCTCATCAGTGCGCATCCACGACCCCGTCCCTCGGGGTTCGAACCCAGGATCTACTGTTCTTGCGCGCAAGCACTTAACCACTAGACCACTGGGCCTTCATCCAACGGTGTTAATGCCTAACTTCAACTAATCCACGAAATTGAGCGACACATTCACCATTTTCATCAGTCAGTAACTATCTCAACAATTTAGATTACTAACATCTCTACAAAAACCCTTCTGATATTTATTTGTTTGAAAACATAAATATTGGTACAAAGGGGCACCAAATACATATGCGTCTCACAAGTCACTTGATTTGTGTGGGGCCTGTGATATTCCCCGGGTGTCCAGACAGAAGCAGGTGGTTTTCTTAGGGGATCACAACTGGAGCTTTCGACCTAAAGGTCTAATGCACAAGAGAGTGGAGCGGTGTAGGGAGATGCAATCCCGTGGCAAACAATGGGTTCGTACGCCTTTTGTTTGTTCAGGATCCTGCAGCTCATGTTTACCATCGGTTTGATATCAGAGTTTTCCAACTCCAATTCCATATTCACGAACCCGGTTAAAGTATTGGAAATTCGCTTTTCATCCTCTTAATTTTGTAAACAACACTCCCTTCACAAGAGGGCCGTGAGTGTGTAGGTGTTCCCTGGTAGTGGCTGTATACGTCTGGCCGTGCCAGAGCATTAAATAACAAAAGCTATCCACTTTGCCTTAGTCTACACTCTTACTTTAAAAAATTGTAAAACAATCATGAAAAGCCCGGAATATCATGCAAAAAGTGTATATCAGTGAGTTTTAATAACGATCAAGGAAAATGATATCAACAAAGAAGATTTACTGCTCAAAGATCGATTAAGTTTCAAAGTTGAACAAAAATACGAGTAAGAAATTGTTAGCGATCCTCTCTTAGGGAATCTCATGTCAGCCAACTAGTTGATTATAAAACTTATATTAACTTTTTGAGTTCAATAGTTAGATAATGAAGCAAAATGTATGATGCTCTTAAAATTATATTAAGAAAAATTAGCAACAGAGATTTTAAAACATGAATACACCAGTATATTAAGTGATTGATTAAACCACCAGATGATCCATATATAAGTTAGTATGTAAACTTACTGCAAGATAAAATATTTACTGTATCACTTACTTCATTTTTTTCAGGTTCATACACATTTGTTATCAGAGGTAAACGATGATTGGGTGAGGAGATACTAATTCGTGAAATGAAAAAAAGCCAAGATAAAGGAATAAGGGATCTTAAATGTATACTTAGAAATTTGATTAATATAAGAAGAAAGATCAAAACACTTGTAGTATCAACGATCTCTTTTCAAGACATTTAATGAATAAAACTAAGAACAGACCGGTAGTACAGTTGCATTCCCGTTTTATCGACTTATGCCAACCGAAGATTCTCTGTTGCAAGATATGACGTCCGTTGGAACAGGATAGATTGAATAGATATTTCTCATTATTTTTTAACTCAGTGGGAGCTTCAAGATCTTGGCGCTAAACATTTGAAAAGCTAATTCTTTAATCATTGGACCGTCTCGAACTCAAACGAAGAACAATCCAGTACAGTGAGATTTCCAAAGGTTATTGGATTAATGTCATTTTATAAATGGAAACTATCTTACGAGTAATCTATATCGCCAAAACCACCAACGTATGTGACAAGAATAATAGTAATTCATAATTGACGCTGGTGGTGGATTGCGTAATGTTTGGAATGTGGACCATTTGATTTCGAGACACGGTGGTTTAAAGTTAACATGGAAGTTATGGTACAAGATGTTGAATTTGATCCCGTAAGGCTATATTTTCATGGATATGTACAACCACTAAGTCCCAAACTAGAACGAAACAATTCCCCATCGCTCTTTGGGTTTTTAATAGTTCACCAGTGTTCATGTCAATACTCAGAATCCTAAAACACAAACATAACCAATACGACCCACTCGTAGAACAAGATTCACATATATCTGAAGTAATGTAGTGATGTTATTTAGAATAGAAAGTGAAACAAAGGCTTCTGACTAAACTATTTAACTTATTTAATTCAATAATTCATCATCGTTAAAGTATACAAAAAACAGACAACAACGAAAATCAAGCTACTTACTTCTTACAAGTTTCAAGATTCAAATTATCATCAATTTCACTGATAGGATTATTGAACCGATTGTTATTTATCTCTTCTTTATCGACATTAACATGATTGATTTGTACAGCATATCTACCATTATTAGTTATTGTATGAACATTGAAATTACTAGACGACAACTCACTGGAAACATGTTCTTTTGAAAAGAGTTTATGATTAGATTGATGTTGTTCTGTTATACAGCAACAATCATTACAGTCATTATTGATAATTTTGCTAGTGGGTCTTATTGCAGTTGTTGTGGTTGTTATCGGTGTAAAATCATTTCCAAGCAGATTATTATCAGTAATTAATTCATTTGATAAAAGCCCTAAATCTTCATCAGTATAAGTTGAAATAAATGGTGAAGGTGTTGATGTTGATGTGATAATTAAATCAGTGAAATTTATTAATTCATCAGAATAACTGATTTCAATGGGTGTTATACTAGTTGGATCTTCTTCTACTACTACTTCTTCATTAGTATGATAATAATCATTATTACTATTATTAGCAGTAGTAGTAGTAGTAGTAGAAGTAGTAGTGATGTTATCATTGGAATGTGGGCTACTATCAGTATTAACATACTGATGATTATGATTAACAACATCATTGACATTTTGATGATCAGGACTACCATTTGACTTGATGCTTTTTGTTGTGTTAAAATTTTCAAAGTTATTCATTGTTAGTGATAATGAATAGGGATAATCATTAGCCCAATTAATTACAACATCAGATAGCAAATTATTAGATTCTACACTATCATTATTATTATCATTAGGAAACAATAACTGGTTCACAGTAGAACTTGCCTCTACTTCATTGTCTGAATTATTATCATTACTGTTTGAGTTAACATTATTGTTATTATCATACTTAGACTGTTGTTTTTTTAAAAAAGAAAAGACGGTAAATAATTAGAAATGACAATATATATACCCTTAAAACAAAATAATCTGACTATACAATAATAATAATAATAATAATAATAATAATAATAATAATATACGTATAGACAAATTAATTATTTACTCAAGATTACACTGTAAGATGATAACTGATCATAATTTATAGGAAAAGAGTAAAAATAAAACAATTCAATGTATGAACAGTAAGTTAATAATCAATATGATGTAATATTTCTTTTTCTAAAATTGAGAAAACAGAAACTTACAGTTTCATTATTTTGATAATATCTATTTATTGGTTTTGAAGAGGAGAATATAAATGGAATGTATTCATTATTATTTTCATTATTATTGTTATTAATTATATCTAATAACATGAAATACAATAGGAAACGAAAAGAAAAAGGGAGAAAGGATAAAAGACAAATGCTTCATTTAAGAGAAAGTCATTGTATCAAATTAACTTTTGAAAATAAAGTGTAAAGTTTTTTTTGAAAGTATCTCCTTTTCTCCTTAGACATGTAAAATCTCACAAACATGTATCGATAGAAAAATATGCCACATTTAAATTATGAGATTAATGTTATTCCGTTGGTCAATAGTATAATATCATTCATATTAGGTTTTTAATCATAAATATTCAATGACAGTTAAGTAGACAAACGATCCAAAGAGTGAGATAATGAATTACATGGAAAAGAGATGATCAAGCAATTTAAACATTTTGATTAAGACTATTAGGTGACAAGTTAGAATGCCCTATATCTACGTTAAATGGACAAAACCACTAAGTCAAATCATTCAATAAGTGCTTGATTAATGAGATGTATTGTACCATTGTTATAGGTCATTATTAATTATTTAAACCATTAAAACCTAAAGTACACGAAAAAATTAGTACCATGTAGACGAGATGATATGAACTTGTACAGAAGTTCAAGATATATTAAGTGAGTATTTACCAATACCACTGATTTCAGTCCATGTAACGAAACTTCCCGACCACCGAATACAATGACCTAATGAATTTCAGTCCGGAAATCTGTACCTTCCTGCATAACTTGAACCCATGGTCAATGGTTGATGATATCACATGATTTGCCAGACCTTAGCTCTTTCCCAGATTATACCGGTAGAGTGTTCACATTTATTCTAATCACCACAATCGCAATTTTTTTCTTGGAACCCGATGAATAGTCTCATTTCAACTTACTCGATACACGAGCAACGACCCAAAGATATACGTAATCAAATACTAGTGAAACACTTTTATAGTGATCAAGAAAACAGTGAGGAAAAACGTGCAGTATACTCACCTTTGATAAGCAGACGGACATCTATCCTATACCATATGCTAAACAAGTCGGAAAAAGTCGAATGAGCTTTCTCTTTTGTGTTAAGACTGTCAGCTATTGCTCCCACTTTAGCCGATCAGACTTTCAAGATAGATGAAGTGGTCAACACACTTGACTACTTAACTAGCTGTATTTAAATAAGTCATTGATTCAAACCAGTTCTAAAGTAACTTTACATTTAAGGAGATTCAAACACATCTCAATTGTCATTGTACATTTACTCAAAGTGTTAAAAAGATTCGTAGTTGTATGAAAAAATTAAATAGCTATGTAGAAAATGAGCAGCCGTGATTGTTACCAAATCATGCAACCAAACACACACACAACCAATTTATCCACATCCACTAAGTGAATAATTCAATCTTTCAACTACATTTAACATTCTTATGCCAAATAGAAATGCTTTACATAAAGGTATGCTTGAACCTGTTTAATTAACTAATTTAACCTTCCACTATAATCATTCTTTATCTCGAAAAAAAGTTACATCATAATCACAAAGATTTACCTTATTTATTTCTAATTTTTTAACCGCTAATTTTAACTTTGATAATTAACTAACTATAAAGTAAATATTTTTTTTCTAAACCTATTTGCATTTATAATTTTAAATAGGATAATACGCATTATGCTGATTACATATTCAGGTTAGAAACAATTCTATATATTTTGCCTTTAAATATAAACAATTTCATTTAATAAGCAACGGTGGAACAAAAGTGGAGAATAAAAATCAAGACTGGTTAGTAAACATAAAATATAATCAACATATACACAGTGAGCATAATAAAGGATTGTTGAATGAATATTATTCATTAATTATTTCTTATTGATTGTCAATATTAAAATGATCCGTTTGTATTATCTACTCAAATGATAAAAATTTAATGATAATCATAATCAAAAACAAAATGAAAATTAATTATTAATACTTTTTTTGATCAAAATCTGGGATGGATAAAATCTAAACTGAAATATTCCACGATTTGATTTAATGTAAAATCATTATTTGAGTACCAATTTCTGTAATTGACTAATAATACTAACACATCATTTCGGTTGAATTAGGTAAACTAGTATTTACATATGAAATCTACTGAATAAAACAACTAAAAAGTAAATGAAATTCAATAAGCTTTCAGTCAGAAACAATATAGTACAAGGCACTGTTGTGTGTTGTCTTGTTTGATGGAAAAATCAAACAAAAGTAGATTATGAATCAATTTAAGTCAGACCACCATTAAAAACCTGAAAGTACTGGGCGGATGTTTCATCTTAGTGTGGGACTCCTCAACAGTGTGAATCCACGCCGCCTCAAGCGGGAATCCTTCAATTATCTGGGAATAAAAATTTCCGGAGCTCTAATGAGAGGCCGTGACCAATAAAGCTAAACCGTGTCGAGTGTAGAAACAGTTACTCATCATCGAAGATCGTCGGACAATGTCTTGGACTGATTAAAGTTAGACATTAAAACCATTGAATGCCGGTTCAGGGGTCTAGAGGTTTGACGTTCGCGCGCGATATTGAAGGTCTTGAGTTTGATTCCTGTGTGCGGAAACATGGATTCACACTGCTGAGTCCCATACTAAGACGAGCCGGTCATCTAGTGCTTTCAGGTTTCCAACCGTGGTTTAACCTAGATCAGTTCAGGATTCCAGTAAGATTCAACAATCCCCATAACCTGATACTAACGGAAATGGGGTTAATGACAGTATATATTAATGATAGTGATAACTTTAAAGTACTTTAGAAACATGAATTTACATTGAGTAAAACAGATATCAAGTATTAACAGTGATATATAGATTGAACAAGGGTGTGTATTAAGTTAACAATACTATAATTGTGAGAAAAATTGAAATTAAATAATAATTGTCTGATAGAACACTATTTATTAAGAAATCTCTTCAGTGTAACTACGAATTACCTACCTGAAAACTGATATTCGCGAGTATTTCGCGTATGAGGATTCGCTCGACAAGACGACTTATTATTCGAAAAGACTAATTCCAAATTTGTCTGACAATTATCATTTAATTTGGGCGTGATAAGGAGAAACACAGCTGTGTGTGGATGATGATGATTTATATCAGATTGTAGTGAAGAAAAACTGTTCACAACACTGCAACTTATGTTTCTATATGGATTATCAGACAGAAATGATAGTGACGATGATGGAGAGGAATTTGGATTCACTGATGAATTCCAAATATGATCACTCAGAATCTGAATTAAATTAGAGAAATTTAACTGAAAAAGAAAACAAAAAAAAGTAAAGTCTATTGACTATAAAGACATTTTTACCCTGAAAAATATTGATATTAGCATGAGAAATATAAAACTAAGTTTGTAAAAATTTCAGCCAAAATGAAATTAAACAATTTCAACTATTCACCAAACAGTTTGATTCGAACTTTTATGATTATTTTCATGATGATGATGATGATCATCATCATCAACACCAACATTGTCATTGATTGAAAGAAAGCACAGAAAGTTCATAAAATCTGGTTTATAAGGAATAATATCTTAAAAAAAGTGATTTATACCGTCTAAAAAACTTTTCTAATACAATTTATTTTGTGATGTTTAAACTTTGTATACAACTATAATGTAATATTATCAATATCATGTATAAGATGTTGTAGTAAGCGAGTAAAATTTCTTTAACTAGACTATAGCCCATAGGTCGTATTACATATATATATATATAATTCGCAGTGAAAATAACTGAATACAACAAATCCATACTTGATCTACTGTATCTAACTCCAGATATCAGTACATCGTTGTAAGAAACAAAAAAAATCAAAGTTAGCATGATAAATAAATGCTTGGATTCTAGCAAAATTTTGATTTGTATCAGTTTTATATATTAACTGTAGTCATTGTTTTTACTTCGTGACATAAAAAGTCGCCATTTACAGGGGTAGATTTACAATTTACTTTAATTTATATATACCATAGCGCAAAAACATGATACATCACCATCAGATAGAGAACAACATAAAATGTGAAACACATGTGTGTACACGACAGAAACAGAATGATAAACTTGGACTTTAATAAAAGATTTAACATGCATGATATTTTTGTCTAATAATAATAATAATAATAATAATAATAATAATAATAATAATAATAATAATAATAACAATAATAATAATAATAATAATGAGAATTATGTTAATTATATTTTCGAAGAAGTTCAACTTATTTAAAATGTAAAGTAATATTATTTTACGATCTTTTATCATCAGAAGGGGTTGTGTGGAGATTTCAGAAGTTTCACTGGTTGAAATCATGAGCCAATTGAAGCTAGACCACCATGGAAAACCTGGATTGGTTGAAGTTAGACATTAACACCGTTGAATGCCGCCTCAGTGGTCTAGTTGGTTAGGCGCCTGGCGCGAGACTGATAGGTCCTGGGTTCGGATCTCGCGAGGAGCGGGATCATGGATGCGCACTGCTGAGGAGTCCCATACTAGGACGAAACAGCCGTCCAGTGCTTCCAGGTTTTCCATGGTGGTCTAGCTTCAATTGACTCATGATTTCAGTCTTTTATCAACTAAATGCAAGTCTAAAAAATTAAATACCATTGTACATTGAACAAGATATTAAACTGTTTAACACGACGACGGGCAGGAAAAACTATGGAGAAACTTAGGCCCATTTTTATGAAAAATAACTGAATAAATAAACAAAACATTTATCAGCTACAAGTAAAGGATTTTACTGATTACTCACTTACGTAAGTATAATGAATTATCAAGTGGTTGATGTGTTATTTTTCTTATTACGACCCAGCTACTCTTATTGCTTGGTATTCGTGGACAATACTTCGCTTGACAAGTCCCCAAATCAGAACATTATGTGAAAGCATATAAGAATAACACTAGTGTTACAAACAATTGGAGGAGTTGATATCAAGATCACTATCTTAGTTTAATGCTTGAATACTGTAATGAATTAGTTAAATCCAACACAAATCAATGTAATAACTAGACATAAATATTATATCAATATAAACTGATCACATCAAGGGAATCAACTCACAAGTCAAATACATGCTCACGTAAATAAAAACATAGAATAATATTTGTCGAGAGAGAGAAGGTTTGAACTCAATATTAGGAAGTTAAAAGTTACATATTAAATACATTGATTCATCATTAATTATAACAAGGAAAAATCGAAGAGAGTATTAGATAGTCTAAAATATGAAATTGATAGATATCTAAAGCACGTAACGTCACATAAATGCAGTTGGGTTTAGAACGGCATATCATAACAGAAAAGTAAGACAACATCAATAGACACTGAGATGAAAGATGAATGTATCTTTAAAAGTGTAATCGGTTTCGAACTATGTTTATGAACTAAGTCTATAATCATCTATAGTTTTTATAACGAGGAACCCTACACGGGAAGTCAATGTTTCATCCCACAATCTAAATCAATGGTCAGTAATTTTAGGGTTTCGTAAAATACGACTAAGTCGACTCACAGGAGGTTCATCACCTAACCGACTAACTTACTCTTGTCCACATCACCACTAACGCTAACATTCTTCATTCAATTAGTTCAATACGTCCGAGCAATGCTTAGAAGATAACTACGATTGAATACCCATCCTAACTGTGTTCCGTTTTCATATACCAAGTCTCATGGCCTAAAATAAGGATAGAGACATTGACATAACAGAGTACTAAAATTGGGCACGCGTTTACATTTTATCAGTTTATTTTGTGTTATATTGACTACGATTACAAACAAATATTTTTGACAATCATACTTGACCCAGTCAATAAAAGTGACCACTTGTATAAACCAAACCAGTAGTCAATAACTTTCATGGAATAATATCACTTCTGCACTACAAGAGAACTCTATTTATTTACATTTGTTACAACTTATATCATTTCTATCCAGGTAGACATTTTAAAATCATAGACAACGGGCTGGTCTTACCAATCTTAATCAAAAATGACATCTTGTATAACCAAAAATCTGTTTAATCAGAGACTCTAAATTGTACATCGCTAACTCGGTGGTAAAATACAAGCTATATACGCTGAATCTTTGTAAACTTTCTACGTTACGTTGACGTTTTACAATGTTATACCCGTGTGCAACATAGTACTTTGTCGTAAATACGACAGCTTGAAGAGAATGTGGAATAGATCTCCACACACACACACACACACACACACACACACACACACACGAATAAACGGACACAACAAATTAAGCGAGCTAGTTAGTCCAGATCAATTAGCAATCAGCTTATTATATCAAGTACAATTAAACTGTATTTCGCCATTCAAAATAATATCAGTACATTCAGCACATACATGATTAAACGATTTGTAACAAATGATAAGTTGAAACAACTGAAATATCATCCTGCAATCTAATATTTACTGAATGTGAATGCTAAATAAATGAGCATTGAGATAGTATGCTCATTTATAATCTCAAAATAGTTACAATGACATTCAAACCTTTTTTTAATAACAAACAGCTAAATTACTATTAATAGCATGTAGTGGGCAATGCTAGCAATGCGTTGGTAATTAACTTTGAAGTAGTATGCCGATCGAAGTATTAGTTAAATGAATCCATGTTACAAAGTGATTAGATAAAGACATGAAATCAATCTCTTGAATTTGTAAGTTTATTTGAATAGTATAGGATCATTAAAGCGGTGAAAATCGATGAACGGATGAATGAATGGATGCTGAGTGATGTGTGGTTTGAATTTGTTTACAGTGAGACAGATATTAGATTTAATTATTTTGCTAAAAAAAATAATAGCTACCTTATTGTTCTAAGATAGTCCTTTACGAGCATATCATGATGATCAATATGATTGACAGGTTTAGATTAAACGATAAGAGAATATATTGTTAGTTCAATTCACTAACATTTATCTTAGGGAAAAACAGAACAGAAAAGATTCAAATGAAATCGATTCAAATAATTTCTTCAAAACTGTATTATACTGACTTCACTGCTAAATATACAAAATAACATATTGAACTCTATTGAGAACAGTTACTTCTCGTAGGAAAAAAACTGAATAAATAGATTAGGTTATACAAACATTGAAGCAATTCATTTACGAAGTACATGGATTTATATACTCGGTTGTGAGCCATATTACTGGTACGAAGGCTTTCGAGATTAACCGGTTACCCGAATTGAAGTGAAGCAGAGTTTAAGCCAGTAGCCTAAAGTTTGGAATTGGACTGATCAAATCACTAACTTTAAAATAGGTATTTTTATTGTCTGATTCAAACAATTTTCATCCTCCTAGTATGGAACTTCTTGACAGCATACACACTCTTGCGATAACAGTAACTGTCAATTTTACATTAAATGACCGTAGCGCCATATTGCGAATCGACTAAAGATGGAAATGTGTAATATCTGAACCAAAACCAGTAATCCGAGTGATAAACACTCCCCGATGTACTTAAAGGTTATAGGATCAACCTCCAGTGGGGTTATGGATGGGCACTGGTGAGAAATTCTATACCAAGAAAAATTAGCTGTCTAGTTTTCTATCGTTATCAATGATAATAATCCAGCTGAGAAAATTTCGTGAAGATACATCATCACTGACAGATTCGAACAATTTCCACACAACCACTTCATATAAACTTGAGCATTCAAGAATAAATATGACAGGATATTTTAAAAAGAAAATATTTAATGATAAAGGGAAACTAATAAGAATCAAGTGGATTTTTGTTGTCAGTGTACAGAATGAAAAAAAGATGATAAAAGTTAGCATATGAGCAAAAAAGTAGGATAAATATTTTTAGTATATGGTGGTTGACGATTTTCCTAGACATACAAAACAAAAAAACATTTAGGACTTTAGGATTGTAGTGAGAGAGATGACGTCAAGTCTTTTCTTTTTAATGAATTTCTTCTCGGTATTATAGATGATTTTGTGATTTTAAAAAGACTTTGCTAGAATAAAATGATTAATGTTAACTAAAATGTTAGAATAGAAGATTTTACATTATTTTCTACAATCTCAATAGATAATTGAAATTGTGCAGAAATGTAAATCAATATACCTAATTCTGTAAGATCAAATAAATGATGTTACATACATATATTGAGTTGTTCAGTGAAAAGGTATTCTCCATTTTACTTTTTTTAAAAAAAGTATCATTCCCAACACTGATACAGGAAAAAGAATAGTTTGATAAACTTGAAAATGAACTTTAAAACATTAACCACTGGATCAACAAACAAGTACATATTTATGTAGAACAATAGTTTCAGTGTACGTGGTTTGTCTGATAGGTGAATCAAAAACCAAGAAAAACTTCTGATGGAGTTGCATTCTCAGAATTGTATGGTTTATTAGTGAAGTCTTCATTGTCTTTGTAGACAAAATTATCAGCATCAACTTCAAATAAAAGACAGGTATGATTAGTTAACATTAATTCCAATCGACTTTTATTTGTTACTCACATCGTTTGATCCTTTCTTTTTTGAAATATTCTGTCAAGTTCTTTCCATGGATTTTGAAGCCTAGATGAAGCGATTATGTGGAGACTGTTTTAATCTATAAGTAGTATATGTTCACAATTGATATCAATTAGGATACCACTTAAAACCAGGAGGACAGGTTTCTATAAAAAGTTTGTGATGATGTCGTCTAGAAAGACAATCAACGTGTCAAGCTTAAATAATCCAACATAGACAATAGAATTCTACCACGATTATCCTCCTAAGCTACAAATCCTCTTCACTGTCTCTAGGAAAGACTTTCAAGAGATTGGTCGGATGTCAAGGGGTACTTACGGAGATAATTCATCGAAGAAAAAACTTCTTTCCAACAAAATCAAATCATTTAGGGAAGTTAATGAAGACTGCACGGAAGATAAAAGACCAGAACAAAATTAAACCCTCTAGTACTGATGAAAACATACTTTTTGTGACCTAGTTGTCTATCCACTGTCCGGATGATTGGTGAAATACTGAAATTAAGAAAATAGTCTATGTGCACCACTATGATAAGACATGACAACATGAAGCAGCTGTAGAACGAAACTTTTGGGATGTCTTAAACAATAGAAGCAGAGCCGAGACAACTGTATTGTGAATAAGATTGATGTGTTTTGAAGTTTTTGAAATAAAGTTTCTATGACTTCAGTTCGATTATTTATTGGATATGCTAAGCATAAACCAGTAAGTAACGCTCAGAAAAGCTAATTTAAAGCTTAAACATATTTTTTCATTGTATATTAAGTAGATATTTTTGATAAATTGGAAAGCAAATAATTTTATTCTACGGATGAATTTGATGTTACAACTAAGAGTAAGACAGTGAGATGTTTTGCAATTTGAACTAATGTACAAAATCGCAAAGATCTAATAATCATGTAACTGTGTTGTTCAATCCTGTAGACAGATGCATAATTATATGATTAATTGAATAAATATAATGTAATTTTGTAAAACAATCACATAAATGAAAACTTACATCGAAATTTAGAATTCGATCAACACCAGGTTTCATGATATGTTTTGGGAAATTATTAACTATAAAAAAGGAATATAAAAATAAATTCAGTAAGGCGAAACATAGTTAAGTGCTTACGTTCGATATTTTTAACTACCGTATTATTGGGTTTTGAATAATACTTCATCTATCAAGGTGTAAGCACAATCCTATAGCAATACCATTAGTCTTCAACATAGTTTGGTTTATAGATTACTATATTATTATAATTAGCACAACTTAATAATTTGAAAATGGATTTAATCTGAGAAACTCTATAGCATCGAAATTACAGAACTATTTTCATCTTTTGACATAGTTTAGCAACATAAACATCCCAACTTGTAATCAACGAGGTACGAAAACATAACAGCGAAAATGTACGAATCTGGTAGACAAACTAGTTTATGTGTTAACAACTTTAATTCAAAAAGTGACACAAATGCAAATTCGGTGGTTTTACATTCACTGAGCTCTGTGGTTTAACTGAAAAGATTTAATTGTCGATGTAGACATGTCCAACTTCTACTACAAATAGATATGAACATTGATATAATTATTCAACAAGCATATCAAATCAAAGCCCAGAGAACGCAAAACTATCAAATAGATCCATTTAAGCTTTTGAACATTTTAAGAGCTTGAAACAAAAGTAAAACAACATTTTAATAATTTGTACTGTTTCACAATCTTATTAGTCGGTATTTAATCATGTTATCACAAATTTATCGTGAAAATGCTTATCATTTTAGGAATATGAAAATCGATTAGAGCGGATATCCCTATTCTAATTTTCCTTAATAGTTTGATATAATTCCAAAAAATTCATGATATAAAAATACCTCACATATGTAAAAGATTAAATTATCCTAGTGGGATGTGCTGTAAGCTATAAAAGAGAAAACAAACAGTATCTCTAGAGCTGGTTTCCAATAACGAATGTCGTCATCGATCAAAGCACTACCATATACCCATAGTTTGTTACTACTTCTCATTAGTACGCAACCACGATACAAAAGAAAACATGAAATGTCAGCTTAGAATCCCCGATTACTAAATGTATATTCTATGAGCAAGCCGAAAAATAGCCCCACACAAATTCAATGTTATTGAATCATTTTGCCCACAATTATCTGGAAAATAAGTCTCATCATATTCGTTTGTCGTAGACGGTAGTTGTCACGGATTGACTGCAGTTAGTGTTTCAATGAAAATCAAGAAGCATTCGATAGATATTTAGTCCTAATATAAAAGCCGTCAGGAGTGTGGACACATGATCCAGTCAGGGATCGCACCTATATCTCACAGCAAGCGTTTAACATTTTACCAAGTGTCCTAACCAAGTTTTCTGAATATGAAATGTATACTTATTTAATTTTCACCGATATTATACATTTATTTGAAACTAAAAATACCCAAAGGTTATTTAGTTGACCTGAAGAAAATAAATATTAGGATTTTTATTGCGAAAATATTCTAAAGTACAAACTTCTAACTATTTAAATCGTTTAATTATTTAGTGAAATGAAATAACACAATCATTTTTATTTACCGAATAATTCTAGTATATAATGGTAAAACAAATACAAGTCAAATAATTACTAAATATTGCACGATTCCTTATTTCGGGAATCGATTAATGGGCTAGTGTGCATACAATGGATCACAAAAATAGTTGTTCAAAGATTATACATATGTGGTATATGCCACTTACATTGACAGATTATAAGTAGCATATAACACCGATCAGAAGTGGAATGCCTATCAAAAGAAGTTTGAGAAAATTGAACTGAAGAAAACAGAAAGGGAAACATAAAGGAATTGAGAATTGAAAGGATCATGAAGGATGTAAAGAGCAATTAATGGAAAATGTACAAGTGAAGTATTTCAATTACGAAGACACCCAATAGTTTTGCATTAAAATATAAAATGGTTATCCACACCAAATCTTCGTTCACTACGCATATATAAACTATAATGCTTTGATATTTTAATTTATATCAAACTATAAAAAATATAGCTACACAATCATACTTAAATTTAACAGGGATCAAATTTGTACAGTCTTAGATTTTATGAAGAGGAAGAGATAGATTTATCTTAAAGGAGTGAAAGAAACATACAGATGAGTTTTAAAGATAAATAAGTTATATCAATATTATTAATGTTTAATTTATAGAGATAATCAATAGAATAGAATTTTCGGATTGAATTGGTAACGTTGTACAACAGTTAATCAAACAATAACAATCATTTTTATTAATCTTGACTATTCCTGACATAGAAACAAAATTAAAAAGAGAATAAATTAATTAATTAAACTTACACATATTGACTAACTGTTCAACAAGTTGAGCATAAGTTAATTCATTACGATCATTTTCACTTAGATCAGGTAATGGTAAGCAAAGTTTATTCTCATGAGTTAATAAGGGTACATTCAAATAATGAAACAATACTACAGAAGGATTCTATGAAAGTAAAAGAAAACACAACGAAAATATTGGTTTATTAATTAAAATCAGTAGAAATAATAACCAGTGAACAAGTGGATTCAATGAAAATTGATGTTTTTAGAAGAAAAAGGCTATATTTCTGTATTACATACTGACTAAATCACTAAATTAATCATTCTTATGTCTAAAACCAATCGATAAAATAAATTTTTATCGAGAGAGGTGGTTAAAAAATGTATGATATGTATCATTTACTGTTTCACTGAGCTATGTTAGTAGATGCAGATTATCTGATTGGGGTCCGCGCGATTACCGTGACTAACGGTTGGAGACTGCGTTATAAAGCTCAAAATCGATCGCAGTGGTGGAGATGTACTCATTCTTCGGCTTCCACTAGATTTTGAGCTGGAAAATTACCACTCATTGTTTTGTGACCTTTATTTTCATTTATGAATATTCATTAGTTAACTGACAAGTAATTTATCATCGAACTATTGTGATTGAATATGTTGAGCATGAATTACAGCTTAAATTCAATTATAGTGGAGCGGTGTATCAGTGGTGATGGTGTACAAATTTCAACGGGTTTGAATCCCTCCCCAATTAATTTGGTTTGAGTAATCAAGTATTAGTACTAACCCTCAAATTAAAAGTGTGGTTCGAAGTCAGGTACACTAATCAATACCTGGTAAATGAGCTGAGCACACATATATAGACATGGATTAGTGATTTTGTGTTTTGTAAACTAACTAATTGGGAATCAGTCAATCAGTAACAACGTGGAACTTCGTACGTACGTGCATCAGTTCGAGTTGCCATACCACATTAGCACAGAGATGCAGTTGTCGATTTAAATCCCGTAGTGGTAGAGGTAGTAGGAGTATAAGCAGTAATTGGAAACATTGGGGTTTGAAGACGTTATTCAAGGAGCATAATCCAATGAAATAAATTTAGGGAGAGAAAAAAAGAGGACATGAAGAATTCGGAAGATTAGAGTTTGGGAGAACACAAAGACTGGATGCACCTGCACAATTGCAAACGATTTTGAGCCATGTCATTTAAGGTCTCTAACCATCGGTTGCTATCGTCATGCAGATCCCAACCAGGTAATTTACACCTACCAGCATGACTCAGTCCACTTGTCAGTGACTTTATGGATTTGTGCCACGCTTTGATCTGGCGGCCCCTATCTTTCTTCCAACCTACTCCTAAACTATAAAACATCGTTCGTCGGGGCAGTGGGTGGTTGGGCATACGTAACATATGTCCCAGCCATCTCAACTGATGAGGTTTTACTAATTCATCAATTGATTTATTTTGGAACCGGAAAATCGATTTCGTGAGCACATCATTAGTTTCGCTATACCAGTAATTATAATATTTTGTCGTAAAAGCGATCTGTTTATAACATAGCATGAAAGCTATTACAACGGTTAAAAAATAAGGCTTTTAAATGAAAAACCGGAATAAATTATTATTAATTAACGTGTGCATATAAAATAAATATACACAGGCGATATGATATTAAGTCGGATAAAAATGGATAATAACTTACAAATCTTAGTGAATAGGTTCGTCGATGAAATGTAGAGATTAAAGCGGAATGTGCATAATTGGCAATAATACACTGGAAAAGATACCGAATGCGAGAAAAAACATTATCTACTAGTGAATCAAAGTACAAACGCTTACAATAACACACGCTTAACTTTAATCGACAGATTCCGTAAAAAAATTACATGATCAATAAAAATAGGATATGATACACCAAATAGGTAGAATACATTTATAATGACAACTAACTCTGTAAATTATGAGTCTGTAATTACTCAGAAAAGTATCAAGAAGTCAAAAAATAACGTAGGAAATACTTATCAATCAGACATGTTAGGAATCTTCTAAAAAAAAAAACTTATAAAGCAGTTTTTTACGCTTTTATTTATTCTAAATGAATAATTGGAAATTTCTTTAACAATTTTATTATCCTTTCTAAAAACCTCTCGGATCGCCATGTCCCCTTCAGTTTAATATATACCCTTGTTTTCTGTACAGAAACTAATCCTCGAAGTAGGCCTGGTTTAATATTTCCCTCCTCCAATTTTTTATTCAGAGTTCAAGTGTCGAGGAAAAAATAGGTCAGTGATGGACATGCGAATGATAGCACTTGTAACATCAGCTGTGGTGAAACTGGTGTGAATACTAAAAGTAAATCTGGGAATCAATTCTTTTAATTAGGACGCAATTATACACATCTTCATTCCGTATGTATCCGCGCAATCATACATGAAACGCATCATGTTAGCGTAACATTTGTAAATATTAATATATAAATCTTCCTATAAGCTAAAAACATTTCTGATCATAAGAAATAAATTTTGCACATGTTTCCTAAATCTAATTGAAACTTGCTAGGATGGTATTAAGCGTTCCAAGACGTTGGAAAGTGTCTTTAAACTACATTTATTCAGACAGTCATCTGGAAAAGTCATTACACTAACCTCAATCCCTTGAACTTTAAGGACCATATGAACTTCTTTAGTAGTACGCCGATTCGGTTTCTTTTTCCATGAATAACCATCTTGTTTACGTGCTACGGTGGCCAATTCTCGTCGATAAAAAATAATAGAACCATTTCTAGGACTGTTTTAAAAGATTTCAATTACTAATAGTAAAAATAAATTCTAAAAGAGATGAAGCAATATGAAATTACTATTATTAAAATGTTCTAACAGCTTGATTATCCTTATAGATCGAAGTGCATTCTTCAGTAGTTTACAGAATAAATCTATAAATGCCTATGAAAAGGCGACAGAACGTGTATGCGTATTTCGAAAGTAAGAATGAATGAAAAACTGGTAATGGTAATGTGTTTCCACGCACAGTCTCCTTTTAAAAAATATAGGAAAATAAGTAATTAACAACTTTAACCAGTATTTTATTTAAATTTTCAGAAGGTTCTCCCTTCCTTTACATATCAAATAAAGTAACAACTAAGATGGATTCGATTCGACAAAGCTCAGAACTTATGTTTACGTATGATGGAAAATATAAGGCAGGTCAAAGTGTTCCAGTTCTATTTTGTAATAAAACCCTTTCTGTATGATAGTTATATGAATGAATATTCGACTATAATGCAGTCAGTAATCTGGGAGTCATAGCTACAACATGAATTTTTTCAAATTAACTCCATAATGATTTGAATACTGAACAATACATTTCTCAAGGGTGTTTAAAATGGTAACTAATGGGGTGTTAGGTTGTCAGATGGCTGGAAGAAATCAGTAGAAAGTCTTAAACCTGGGTCTTATGTTAGTTAGCACTGGTTAGAAAAACAAATACACAAACTTGAGATACATGATGCTCTTTGTGGAATTTGAATCTATACACCTAAGCAGAGAGATTGAATTGTGATCAATATATAAGCTTGTGCGACTACAGAGTATCGTCCCTGTTTACATAATATATGCGGTTGACATACTTAAACGGATCTTATTACATTGAGTAGAATTTATTAAAAGTACTTACCGAACTTGAATAACTGATGAAAGCCAGTTGGGATGTACACATGCTCCTAGTAAAAGCTCAGCAACTTCCTTTTAATTTAAAAAAAGGATTATTCGAAAATGAAACGTTTTAAAGATAGTAAACAATCTTTACGAATAACCATATCCACAAAACACACGAAAATATATCTTTACCATAACACTTAATTAACTAACTGCTTTCGTTTATTTTAGAAAAATAACCAATATTTGACAACAGACGTCTGTTATAATCGCAGAAAAGTTGGCTATGGATGCCTGAATAATAATATTGTTATTTATGGCTTTATTCAATACTATATTTTGGTACAATTTAGAATTCTCAGTAAAGATGAAAATATTTATTATGATCCAGAGATTGTGGTTTCTTTAATTAATAATAAATCAATCTGACATTTGTTCTTTGAAGACAGAAACTTTTTAACTCTGTGACAAGAGCCATTTGTTATAGTGATAAAACTATAATGGTATAACTTTGACATTCCAAATGCAGGAAAACTTCAGTGGAAAATAATTAAGATTATGTCACCTATTTATCTTTTCACATACAATTTAGACTCTTTCACGTTGATCTGATCGAAAATCACTTTAAAAACTGACCACCTGTCTACTGAACAACCTCGTAAACCAAGCTTGTATCTGGCCAAATTACATATTCCATCGAAATGAAAAAAAGTTCGCGAACACTAAACAATCAAGATTATTAAATTTAACAACTAAGTATATAAGTAATTAGATTTGTAATTAAATATACGTAATTCCATATACCTTTTGATTGCACCAAATAAGTTTACGTGCTATACAAACTGAAGGAATCACAAGATTGCTTAAAGGTTGTGGAATATCGGAAGAACATTGATTAAATGCTATAGCGTTATTAATGTTATTATTACTATTACTGCTGTTATTGTCACCATGATGTGTAGTGTTAATAGCAGAAACACTACTTTTTTGAATGTTATAACTGATTGGCAGATAATCTGGTAAAAATTCACTAGATTGACTTTTCATGTGGAAAAATCCATTTTTTACAATAAAAATGTAATCCAATCGTTTCTCCAGGTGAATAAATAGATTGATAACGATAAATGAATAAACGAGAGATGGTCACAAAAATATGTGACCAGATATAGCACCAATGTGTAATGATCCCAACGAATATTGAACCAAATCTAGGGCTAGAAAACAATAATAGAATTGAATTGTAGGTAAAGATAACCTATATAAATGGGCCAAAAGAACCTAACGAACAACAAGTTACATAGTTCAATATTGAAATACACATTTACTTTAATTAAAAGAACTGGATATCTGATCCATCTTTTTAAGGTGATTCTTGTAAATATTATACACGACTTTTAAAAAATACAGAATAAACAATGTCATACATCGTTACATGACCTAAGATGGAATCTGGAATTGGTTCACTTAGAAAGTCTACGTTTGTACTACCAAAGAATTTGGCAGTAGAGTACTATAACCGAAGATGGTTACATAGGTTAATTGAAGCCAACAATGGGGATAAAATTTATCTATATCCACTAATAAACCTTTTAATGAAATATTGACTTAAAATAGTAACAGCTTCAATGTGTAAGAAGGGTTATAAACAGACAACATTAAGAACAGTCAAAACTCACTGCAGTACTCAAACCATACGAAAAAATCAAGAAACTCAAGTTATCTGTCCTTCGTAGAAATGACTATCCCAGGAATTCCATCAAAACATGTCTGGTGAATCGACATATCGTAGCGAAACCAACCCAGAAATTCAAGAAACACGTCGCCATATATATCAAGAAATTCCGAAATGACAATAATTGTGAAACCTTCCCAACCAGTATCTCTCACAAACAAACGCGATCACTCCAGTCCAAATCATGCAGACTGAAAAAGTGCAATATCAGCCAGTTAGTTATATGTGATATAGAAACAACATCAAAAGAAGACAAATCCAACATTTCCAAAATAAATTGCGCCAACAGTGAGGAACACCATACAGAATATGCATAACACGCCTTCACTTACGCAAACACGAACATTAATTACTGGTGAAGCGATGTGTTGTGAAAAATAAACAACCATAAACACGTATCTGACTAAAAAATTATCGTGATTACGGATCAATAGAGTCCAGAGAATATGAGTTTTTAAATGCACGTTAGTTAAGTCAGTCGGAAACCGATAGGCATCGATGTGGATCCAATCTATCCGAGTCCAACCAAACAAGACAATCAGTAGAAATGCAAGGATATATGAAAATGCCAATTCATAAATAACGGCATCAGAATAAACTCATTTAGTATTTGCGAAACAAATGGAAAGTTCACTTCTGCACGAAAGAAGCCTTGATGATGTCTAGAACGATCAAAAAAAGCTTAATATTGAAACCATTTATCTACGAAAACATAACGTTATTAAAAACATCCACTTGAACTGTAAAACATTGTCCATCGTTTTAATATCTGAGATTGTTATTTCGTAATTTTTAATATATTTTTTATAATCGCCAGAGTATAGAGCTTGTAAAAATGCTTGGGATGTGTAAATGGTGAAACGGATCTCTCTATATCCAAAAAGCTGTAGCCGTTGTAAATTATATGGGTCACTGAATTAAACGACAAAGAAACTGAAATGAATTTAGTTATATCCACTTTGATGAGGTGGAATAAAATACCAAGCACTATCAAGAAAAAGGGTTTGGTGGAGAGCTTTATTTTTGTGGGTATTATAATGCTCCCTATTATAATCATGTGCCAGTCAGTCGATGGTTATCATTAACCTACGGTTTGACATAAGTGTGCGTCAAACCACTTAGCCATACTGTATTACCATGAGATGTAATTAACAAGACGAGTACCATAGGAATCAAAATAACGTAGTACTGGGAGACTAAACACTGAGAATATGACTCCAAAATAAAGAATTAAAAGGCATATACGCAAAAGAAATTTCGGGACTAAAGATCTGGAGTAAGATGAACAGTGAATGGGTTGTGTGGTCATGGACGATTCTAAGGGAATTTACCCAACGTCTCCAACTACTGATCACACTTAACTCATGGACCTCAACAAAGTAGACTGCAACTACCCACATGCCTCAAATCAACAGTCATTGACTTTATTTCTTGATTTGGTCACCCTTAGCTTTCTTCTAACCTACTTATAAATCAGCTAATATCGCTCATCGAGGCAGGTGGTGGGTTAAGAATACGTATTACATGTACTAACCACTTCAGTTGTTTGAGATTTATAACTTGAACAACTATTGTTTATTTGGAAGACTTTTCAATAACAAAAATTGCCGTAAAACCATCTGGTCAACGAAGTTAAACGGTATCTTAACGTCGAGAAGCGGGGCGTTGATATATAAACTTATTTTCTAAAATCAGATGGAGAAAGAACATTTGGTCAATGCATCCACATTCAGGTCTGAAACCAGATTGTTCTTCCCAGGGTCGTTCTTTGTGAACGCAACTTAAGCGTCTGCTAATCATGGAGACTAATATTTCAGATACTATACTGGTCAAACAGATTCCTATATGATTGTTATAAGACGATTTCTGCCCTTTTTAAAAACTAGAATGATCAGTCATCGACAATAATCAAACAGGATTACATCTATTTCCCAAAATCTAGTTATAATCTTAGTCAACTTATTCGCTACAACTGGAACACCACCTGTAAATATCTCGAGTTAATGCATCATAGTCCACTGCTCTCTTCAGCTATAAAATGGATTATTATTTTTTTATTTTAACACATAAGTATAGGTACAGGGAGGCACAAGTACATATGTGCCACACAGATCTCATTTGGTATGTGTGAGGGCTGTGATACTGCCCGGGTGCCCAAACCGAAGCAGGTGGTCTTCTTAAGGGGCCACACCCCGAGCCTTCGACCTCAAGATCTGATCCACAAGGCAGTGGAGCATCGTAAGGAGATGCAGTCTCATGGAAGCTGGTGACCAAGAAATTGGTTCATACGCCATTTGTTCCCGCAGGATACAGGAGCCCATGTGCACCATTGGTTTGGGATCCGGTTAAAGCGCCGGACATTCGCTTTTCGTCCTCTCATTTTCGTAAACAACACCCCTGCCACGTGAAGGCAGTGAGTAGGAATTCCCTGGTAGAGGCTGTATACGCGTGGCAATGTGAGGGCATTTCGAGAAAGAGAGTGGACTCTCCCCACTCTCGGCCGTACCAGGGCATTTGGAGGCTATAAATGGCTATAAAATGGATATAACCTTTTTAATCTCATTAAGAGTTGAAGGACTTGTGTCGATTTCCCATTCAAATTGTTTGGAGATTTCGGGTAACTGGAGGCTAATTGAACTGTTCCTCAGTGTTTCCCAATAGGTCTAATCTTCTGGACTAGGAATAAAAAGACACCGTCTTTTTTTTATAGTCCTGATATCTTTTTTCTTGATCAGTCGGAATAGTTATCTAATATTATATATAGTCACTGCCTTTTCTGTCCCCTTGGGATTCATTATTCATTACTGACCACGATAATCTAAAAACCGTCTTGTTAGTTTACGTTTAAGTTATCATCACTTTTGGTTTTTCTTCGAGCCTACCTGGATGAGTTTCCGAACATCTATCAATCCAGTAAGTGATACTAAAATCTAAAGATCTTTCGTAAGCTTTTGATATGAGCTGTTGGTAGATGCTACTGCTATCTTTACAGCCAGATGTGCACTTATTCAATCTTCTTCAGGATGAACCGTTTTTCTACGATCGACTAGGTGCTTAGCTAATTTTTTTTATGAATGCACCCCTAACCTTCACATCTCCAGATCGATATCTGAAGAATCTTTTTGTTTTGACTTACCTATGTCCAGTAAAATGCATGGTCGGAGCATATCCAGATTGTGTAGAAGAAGTGAAAATCCTCTACAAAGTCTGTCCAAAGACAGTTTATAACGATCTAATGAGTCCAATGATGTGCTAATATTCCGTGCTCCCAGATGAAATAATATCTCCCTAAATGCCGAAAGTTTGTACTTGCTGGGAATAATAGATTTTCTGAGGATAATTGCAGCAGATGGTGACCATTACTTGCTTACTGACCACGAACACCATGAGACCCAACCAATCTTTTTTCAGTAAGACCTGGACGTTAAAATCCTTTTCTAAGATTACCAATTCCGAGAGCCTGGTTTTCTCTGTAGGTTTTAATGCTTCTGGTAAAACTCACTTTTTGCAGTCAGTGGGGACACAAACAAAGACGACGAAGAGGCAATAACATGTCTATCTTCTCAAGTTTTCACCGTGCTATTTGTGACAGACGGAGCATAAGCGACTATCAACAAGAATCTAGTCACGACGTATTTTTTTGTCTTCAGACTTGGTGCTATATTTGCACTACCAAGGTCACGAGAACTTTTTGTTACGTCTTCAGACATGCAAAGGGTATGTTGGGTTGGCTCTTTATACTTACTACACTAGGTTAAGTGAAGGACCACACTAAGATAGGTGTTTTAAAAGACGAAGCATATATCAAATTTGGAACCCTAAAACATATAGCTTGTAGTGGTCAGGATACAATGTCTGATCAATTGAGACAAAAAAGCGCAGAACAGCTTCTGTAGTCTTCAAATTGTGCCCACATTCGCTCAGTCGTCAAATAATCTTCTATTTATAATGCTCACTACTTATGCATCTGTTCGCAAATCATCTAACGCACTATCTTAAACTGTTGAAACCTGCGAAATGTTAACTTAAAATTCACGGAAATCAATATCAGAACTCGCTACAGTATAGAGTTTTGTCCAGTTGATAAAGTCTGCACAAAACTAGCATTATAAACTGCGTTTTTGTGACGTTTCCGAGAAGCTTATCTGACACTTGGAAACTCATTTATTAATAGCTGCTTTATTGCTTCTGTTTATATGCTTTCATACATAGAAAAAGAATTGATGTAGGGCACGTAACAGACCTATGAAAGTTTTGAAGACAACATACAAAGTTCTAATTCCTGAAGGGAATTGTGATAATGCAAAATCAAATTAGGTCTGAGAATTAATATGAAGACTTTGGAAATTGAAAGCAAATTCGCTAATAAAACTTCTGGGTCAAACGTTCTATGTATGAGTAAAGCGGAGTTTGAGAATACTGACACGAACACTTGCGTATTGGAAGTAGAAATTTCGTGCTGTTCGTTCTGGTAAATAAGATATGGGCAAAACCTATTATACAGTCCTAGACAGATACACGCCTGAAAACTACTTCTTTTGTGCAAACTAAGCGTTTGGAGTATCTAGCCCTACGACAAAGAAGATTTGTAGGAGGAATGAAGTTCACATGAATGCTTTAATTTGTTACGTACTATTAACATGGACACAGTATGACGGTAAACACACACAAACTTATGCCATTTTTTCACAGATCGAGATCTTAGGAACTACCTAGAGACGTACATACTTGCAAGCAACATGTTGAATGCTAAATACACAGGACTGAAAATAGTTAAACTGGTTACGTGCTCAGACGACAACCTGGCAACTAAAAGCACTTTAAACCTGCTAACAATTAGAGAGGGTCCTTTAGCACTGACTTTTAAAATACGATATTGGATAGTTACACGGCTTTTACTAATGGATAAGAAAATGATGTGAGAAGTTTTATTTTAACTTTATTATTATTAATATTGACATATTTGGTCTGCCACATTGAGGATGATTATTCACCACTGGGAACAACCGGAAAAATCAGATTACACATACGAACTTGGCAACAAAATTCTAATATAAAAATGGGGGTTTTCGTTCTAATCATGGAATATGACACGTCCAGTGCCTATAAGGCACTGGAACAACATACTAACGTTATCATCAGTTTGAACAGGACTTTAAGCCACCAGGGTATTTGACTCTAGAAGTTATTGGCTTGTAAAAAAGGAACGACTATTAAAATTTAGATACTCACCAGACTAACTTGATAAATAGAAGTGCAAAAAGAACCAATAAATTTTACACCACCCAGCAGGATTTAAAAAATAAAACCCATTCACAGACACTAAATAGAACTAACGGTTCGAGAAAAAATAAAGACAATCATAGCCATGAGGGGAAGAGAAGGAGACGAGTTAATTACAGTAACGCAACGAGTAGCGAGTACACTGAATACAGCGGCTTTATTGTGCACATATTTTAAAGTATACGCTCAAAAAGTACTACTGAATTTGTTTTTAAGTAAAACGTTTATATAGGCTGTATCGTCTCCTACGTCTTAACACACCCAATGGTTTTCTTCTTCTTGGCCAATAGTGTAGGTCAGAATCAACTGGTTCATTATAATCAAAAGGATCAGGTTGATAGGCGTCTCCATATGCTTGGATAGCTCCATCATCACCATATTTGTACGGAGGTGGAATTTCTCTCAACCATCTTGGAACATAACTACCGATGTACGGCTTTTGATAGGGCTTAGGATATAAATATTTACGAAATATTTCCGGATGATGTATGGCTAGGTATGACAAAACAGATTCTACAGTTTGCTGAGTAAGTGCGGCAGTTGAAGAAAGTGAAGACCCTGATTTTACTCCTGGTGTGGCTGGTAAAACTCCACCTGGAAATACAGCACTGCCTGGCTGTGTGACAGATGTAGTACTCCCAGGAAAAGAAGCAACAATTATGTTGTCTGACGGTGAGTTGATACCGGGTACAATTCCTTTCCCCGGGGATACAGTAGGAAAATAACCTGGGAGTCCATATTGGGGACGATATGATGGGAAAATTCCAACAACTGAAGATGCTGGCTGGATATTTGAGTTTTGACCTCCAGCTGCAACATCACCACCTGTGTTATCTGGACTTACAGAAACTGTACTTTGAACAGGTGCTGACACTTGAGGTGAATCAGATACAGCTATTGCAGTCTGACCAATTTGAGTGGCTTGAATAGAATCACCAGTCATAACATTAGAATATTCCATCCCAGGGTTCATTCCATTCGAATCGGTTATCTCCATTTGAATCTGTCCGTATGTAGCACATAGTGTTATGGAATTAACAAATAATTGAAAAATAAAGTTAACTGGTAATTTTCGGACAACATAAACAACTTTCATCTTGATGCTTAGTGAGAATAGTAGTCTGATTTAAATGAAGTGAATTTATGAGCTCTAATCAATAAGTAAATTGTTTAGCCCCTAATTTAAGTAATCGTGATTAATGTTTATACGATCCACCAAATTTGAGATTGGTTAAATGATATAGTGATCACAGATCATATTCATTTAATTGTTAATTTAATTCATTTTCTTAATATTAAACCCAAAAATGGAGATTTTGATTGTTCAAACAGGAGGTGAAGACAAATTAAATTCTAACTGATACGCTTACCAGGTACAATAGATAAGTGTTATCCCAAAAATATTGGGGGTTATGCCTTCGAAATTGGCAATAGTTATGCCATGGAAATTTGCAGTAGATACACATTGCCAAAAAACATAAAATTTCAGCTCACCAAACCATTTTTAAAGGACAGTTTAGAAATCTCAATGGAAGATAGATCTGAACTTATAAATTTATTGATTCATGCTCAGTTTGAGAAGGTAACTTATTCAAATAAGCAGTTAATAATTTTTCTGGCTATTGAAGATACTTATCACTCATGGAACGGATACAATGATCGAAACTGCACAGTATTTAACTAATTATGAAGAGAAACTTAGAAGCAAATGTATTGTGATAACAGGTACATTGTCTAGTTTATTTTTCGATGAACGAATTAAAAAGATTTTCTCCGTTGATCAACTTGGAGAATGTTTCCTTTTTTCGCAAACAAGTGATTTTTGACATGTACGCAACATATAAAGTTATTCAGAGATTGTGTTTCAGTTAGTGACCCTTATCAACTTCACATTCTATCTAAGTTTGCTAGAATATAATTATTATAGAAATTATTAGCATAAAAATATGTTTTTTCAGTCTAATGTGAGAATAGGACATCAATATGATGAGCATTTATGATTTTCAACCCTCATTTACTCATATTCATAAAATGTATTGTCTTTTTGCTATGGTTGATGAAGTTTAACTGGCAATTATGGATTTGTACTCAGCGTTGTGATTCATATTTATATTAATGAATGGTTTCATCAACAAGGTGCTGCTAAAAGGAAGCATGTACTCGACGTCACACTGAGGGATTAGTCTTCGAAAACACCACAAAAGTTAACTAACGTGACTGTTCGGATTTTAAACCATACAGCCATACCTCATGTACGAGGTAGGACCTGCTTATATTATATTAGGAATCGGCAAGCTCATAGAGTAAGATTTTCTAAATATTCGTCGCGTTTGTTAGTAGATCGGAATAATAACTGGGTACTACATATAATTCAAGCGTCTGCAATGTAATTCTGGCTTTCGTTTAAAGGTGACGACACATGTTGACATCATACAAACACTACCTTATCTGTTTATTATCCATACAAGTGTGTGGTGTTAAAGTGTGATTTAAATGCAAGGAAGTAGCTGATATTTATTATTTTTTTAAATCATACGTGCTCACTGAAATCTACGGTGTTGAGATTTTTTCTCATTTTGTGAAATGGACCATCTCTTAGAAATAGTAATTCTAAATTTCTCTTTTTTAATAACTGGACTATTGATTATAGATTGAATTAAATTTAAGATTTGTTATTTTAATAGCTTAAACAAGTGTACTAATAAGGCAAATCAATTTCACATGCGATGTCTCTTGATTTTCCACCAATATGGTCACTTCAGTCATGGTTTGACAAAAATGTGTATCCCCCATAATCAAAAAGATACCTAGAAAGAGCAACAAAATTATGACAGTACCAATCATAATGTTGTGCTGTTTCAAAATATATACATATACGTCGAAATGTTTGCATTTAGAGTGACTGCTAATCATAAGAAATAAACTACCGTTTCGTTTGTAGAATCACATTTATTGAGATCCGTTGTTCGTTCGCTTGAACTGCATTAATTTAAGTAAACCTAATCAGTGCTTGAGAGCAGTACTGGTGAATCGATAACATGAGTGAAAAGTGTAAGACCCATATAGACTTAATTCTCTAGTAGCATTTAAAGGGAAACAAGCAACAAAATCTCAGCCATATTAATTCTCGAGAAGTCCCATTTGCATACTCCCCACTTGATTTAGTCTTCGAGTTTTTGAATGTTTTTAAAAAGTAATTTAAAGCTTCTTAAATTCATTTACGTTACTAAAATCCACTTTTCGATCTAGGTGCCTTTCGACCCGGTGTATTCAAAAATACAGATGCCGACTTCAACGTAGCATTTGCAATTGGTGGACTGATAATGTCAAATAAACCAGGAATTTTCATAGCAATGCACGGTCAGTTTTACCAACCAAGTGAAGTTATTCGTGATGAAGAAACAGGGAATTTCATTCCAATCGGAAATGAAAAGTGAGAGCCACCAGAGCATAACCTAGTATACAATTTAGATTCTAGTCAAACGTTCACCACAGGAATCAGCTTGCTACTGTTTTCATTTAAAATAGCATAGTTTGATTATGAACAGCGAACAACTAATACAAGTTTGAGAATTTTAGACGCATTTAACGAGATAATACATTTGTTTTTTTACTTTGTATTATTACTATCTTTCTTGGTGCTTTCATTTAAAAATAATTCTTAAAAGCTGCTAGTATCAGCATGGAAATTTCTCATAGATTTTATGGGATAGCTGTCAAGAAGCAACATTTTATGTGACTAATTACATCGCTTAGTTTTTTTAACCTCCAGTTTGAGCTCGAAATCACTTTTCATCAATAAATTTATTCTCAAATACATATTTATTGACATCAAAAGGTCCAAAGTAACTTCTTGTGTGATTTAGGTAGAAACAATGCTTAGGAAACCTGAGTAAAAATGGCTATTCTTAAAATTTGAAAATGGTAGTTCAAACAGCAGTAACTGGAATCACTGAACAGGATATGGTCGGTAACTTAAACTAAATACATTTCTATCGGCAAAGATTAACATGCGCCCTTAGTCTCGGTGAAACGCTTGACCTAAAACCAATCTTGAAAATGTAATTATAGCTTTGGATATCGAGACAAACGACAATAGGTCACAATACTCAACTATTTGGATTAGAGCATCAACAATAACTACATTAACTTGTCTAGAAACGAGGTTAAAAGAAAAACAAAAGTCAATGGTGAAGTGCGATGCATATCATGTATTCCATACAAAACTCGACATTTAAATGAATCGAAGAAAACCGTGATAGTGAATAATTGGCAATGCAATTAAAAAAGAATAAAACAAACTGGAAATCTTCACCTATCATAAGTTCGAAAATAGATTGAGTTTTGGATTTCGAAAGCGAACAAGCAGAAGCATAACAAACAAGCAAAAACAGTTGAAAAGTTTAAGACAACTAGTGATTAGTGAAGTAAAGGAATGAAACTGAATAGTGAGGTGGACAGAGAAAGGAACAGGAAAAAGTAAAGCAAAAGAAATAAATATGAGTGGAACATCCAAACAGTAACAGACGTGACGTTAAAGTATCTCAAATAAATAGTAATGATATTACGGGATCAATAGCAATGTATGTAGAAAAAAATCCTCTAACCGAACAATGTGCATGAAATTTTAAATATGTATGATTTTGTGACGTATGCAAACTAACACGTATGAATTCCATGATATTTACTTTGAAAACGCTTTAAAAGTAGCACTGATGTCTGTCATAAATAAGAGAATCTTGATCATGTCATAAAAAAGTTACATAGCTTTGCAGAAGTCGGAAGACCTCAGAAAAATGACAGATACAATATCACAGGCTGTTTGAGAAAGCAAAGATGAATTTAGTTTTGAGATGATGTGTTCTGAAGGCAAATTTTGAATAAATTCGAATACTTGTTAGTTTATACACGCAATAAAATAAAACTAAGTTGAATGTGTTTATATTATGAAGGTTTGTTTGTGTATCGAGGCACTGGAAAATCGCAATATGGACGAGTATGAGATATTAGTACATTTTCAGAATAATTCCAAGCAAAAAGGTGCAACGGGTGACAAAGGATAATAACTATGAAACTCGAGTCAAGAATAAATCACAAAAGTCATTCTGGATGAAATAAGCAGGTACATAATAATAGTAATAATAAATAATATCAAACAACAACATTAACTAAAGTCAGTCGGAGAGAAAGACTATAAGGAAGACAAGCGAACGTTTGGTACGACCGGTCCGACATAAAAATATGACTGAAATAACTGACAACAAATGGAAAAAATGACATTTATAGGTAGCTTTGGGTTCACAATGAAATGGGTGCATTTGTTTCATTTGTATGATGATTACGTGGTATGATTTAAATATGAATGTGAATGTCGTAAATACGAATAGTCGAGTTTCCTGTTATCTTATTTAACTGTGAAGAACAAAGAATGAGCAAACATAGTAAAAAAACGATGATGATAATGGTGATGAACGTTACGTCAAAAATGAAGATAAATCATGGCACAACACATGGTTCCATGTATAAAGAAAGAGATATAACAACTCTATGACTTAAAATTCTTATTCTCCTTTGTAGAAGGCACACGAACAACAATACGTTGAAATAATATAGCAATATTAATAATTGGAAAGACAAGAAAAACGGAAAAATCTAAACCGAAATAAAAACACGAAATAAAAAAGCACTACTCACAATTTTTTTTTAAATTGCAAAGCCGAAGTCATAATGTAGATGAGGATGTGCGTTGAGAGAAAAAGCAAATTAAATTTTACATTCAGATAAGTGAGTGATAATTCAATGACAACAAAGACAATGGAGTCGAGGTATTTTTTTGTGAGTATAGTATAAACCATGTAGTAATAAATTCAAGGTTAAGTGCCACAGAAACATTTACACACACAAAGTTAGATGCCTATAAATGTTATAAATTCCATAAACTATTCGTTCGACTAGTGTCATTATTTATGGAAGCTGTACTACAACAAATTCCATTCTTTTTATTATGCTCTTCACCTACACTACCATCCGAAACTCGGCGAGGTATTAAACCATTAGTAGAACTATCAGTGGCCACGCCATTCCGTTTAAGTGGTATTGAAATATTGGATATAGGTGAGACGGCTCGAATCCCTAAAACAGGAGACTGAGTGGAACTTTTTGGATTTAATCTTTCACATGGAGTGATAGAAGAATATAGACCTGTGGTTATATCTAAATTATGGCTTTCTACCGATCCATGAACCGTCGGATCAGACGAGGCGCAAAGTGAATCCTGTACGTTCAACTCTTTAATTACTGGAATGACCTCAATATTATTGTTAATACTGTTGCACGTTGTAACGGTTAAATGATTTGCGCGTGCGTGTGAATTCATACTAACAGGTTGGTACGAAGAGAATGAAGATCGCCTATGTGTGTAGATCTGACTGGGTTGAGAAGGGACACAATTCTGTATGGATGCTGCCGCAAGATTTCGGAAGTTGTGCAATGAAGGATCGTTAGAATGAAAACTGTTTGATAACACTGGAGATTGCTGACCACCCGAGTCAAGGTTCGTAAATGATTTGCCTAATCCATTTAACGTATTGGAATTTACAGTAAGATGATTGTTTGAAGATGAATTAATCATCGGTGAAGAATTAATGCATCCAGTTAAGCTGGACATGGAAATAAAACCATAAAGGCTCAATACATCCATGGCATTGGCAATCTCGTCTGTTGCTACATCAGAATACCCAGCACTTTTTAAAACACTACGTATCCCCTCAAGACCCATACCAGAATTAGGTGAAGAGATAGGTCTGGGTGGTCCATAAGTCGGCGAAATCCTAGCATTATAATGTGTTGTGACAGATCCTAAAAGGCTATGAGGGGAGTGAGTAATAGTTTGGTGATTACTTGAATGTGTACTAGCCACACCACGACCCATCAATGCTCGACCACCATTTGGAACTAATGCAGACGATGACTTGGCGTTTGGAGAACAGGCAGCAACTGCACTCATAGCAGCCATGGCAGCAGCAACAGCTGGAGAGGAATTTCCGCCGAAAATGGATCCAGAAGCTGGGTTCGAGGTAGTTGGACTTACAGGCGAAAGAGAATTTATATGAGGAGGTGAAAAGCTGGGATTTGAGCCTGATGCTGCTCTGAAATGCATATCTGAACCAAAACTCATTCCGCACGCAGGTAATCCTGGATGCGAGCCAACCGCTAAAGCATAAGGTGAGCCGGTGGGATAAGCACTTGCTACTGGTCCGATTATCTCGGAGTAAGATATATTTGGACAGCTAGACGATTGAGGATCCTCAGCAATCTTGCTTAAAATCAATGCTATAGCATCGCGTGTTTGCGAGAGTTCACCTGAATAGATTCGGATAAAAAATTTATCAAGATCAACGGTGGGAAACCATATTTGAACAAGAGATTTTAACATAACTTATTTTAAAATTGTCTTGGCACTTATTCTAGATTTTGGAAGTGAACACAAAACTAAAAATATTATAACACTGATTTATACTATGCCACTGTTGACAAGACAGGGGGGAAATCAACATATGGAATGAAATATCAAAATTAGCCACAAGTTATGTTGACAAAAAAGGACCTGGAGTAGAAAAATTATAAGCGACTGGTTCTGAGATATATTAACGTCTGACATGAAATATACTGGAGAATAATATCTCGCACACTGTTGTAGGTAAGCATAAGGAAAAATTCAGCATAGTATATAGGTAGAAATGCCTAAATGACCTGTAAGACTTTGGTGAATACTGAGGTCTAAATGATCATAATATCGAACATCGTTGGGATTTTGTTAACTTATTAATCTACTAAGTAATTTGAATTAAAGTAATACTAAAGCACGAAATCTTTGCTACTAACAACCATTTATTAGTAAATTAATGATAGTTTCACGTCAATGAATGTGTTCAAATGCAATCTAAGATATCAACATTCGATACACACGTCATCACTTATTAAGTAGAAACCAAAATAACGGAATCTGGTTAGTAAGAACGCACTACGAGCGATGATTCAGTGCTTTGAACCTTGATAAGCTTTTTACCGAATCGACAGTGAATCACACTCAAATCGTAAGCTTTATAGCTTTATGTAGGAACTTTATGACTCCTTACTTATAAAAATTATTACCCAAGCGTATTTGTTATTTTGATGTGGTGATCTTACCTCCCCAGTAAAGAAACATTTATCTGTTTTTCTAGGTCCTGTTACTGCAAAGCCCTGTTGGAATGTGGTACGACGAAAAGCAATAGGTTTTATTAACCAAAATACAGAAAAATAACTTCAGTTTTGTAGGTTTTTGCTGCTTATTCCAGGCTTTAATGGTCGTAAGATAGCTTCAATGCATAATTATTATTTATTATTTATTTATTTATTTTAACACATAAGTATAGGTACAGGGAGGCACAAGTACATATGTGCCACACAGATCTCATTTGGTATGTGTGAGGGCTGTGATACTGCCCGGGTGCCCAAACCGAAGCAGGTGGTCTTCTTAAGGGGCCACACCCCGAGCCTTCGACCTCAAGATCTGATCCACAAGGCAGTGGAGCATCGTAAGGAGATGCAGTCCCATGGAAGCCGGTGACCAAGAAATTGGTTCATACGCCATTTGTTCCCGCAGGATACTGGAGCCCATGTGCACCATAGAATTGGGATCCGGTTAAAGCGCCGGACATTCGCTTTTTGTCCTCTCATTTTTGTAAACAACACCCCCGCCACGAGAAGGCAGTGAGTAGGACTTCCCTGGCAGAGGCTATATACGCGTGGTCATGTGAGAGCATTTCGAGAGGGAGTGGACTC